TAAAATAAATTTACAGTATAATATAAAAAAAAATCATTCGATTTGATATATTTTGGAAGAAAAAATAAATCTACATAGTAAAAACGTAAAATCCACCAAAAAATACAATCTTTTTTTTATATATATATAAAATAAAAGATAAAAATATCAATTTTTTTTTACATATTTTCACTAACTAAATAAAATATTATTATTTTTTAATTTATTTAGATTGTTCATTTCGAAAGATACAAGGAGTAAAAAATAGGCTTTAAAATACTCCTTTCCTCCAAAAAATAAGTATTTATTTGCTTTTTGTACGTAGTTTTAGAAAAATTAATATTATATTGGGATATAGTAGGAATAAAGTAGAAATGACCAAAATAACCTTATTAGTATGTATGATGTAAATGTAATGACATTTTTATAATATATTATAAGTTGTAAGGGTATTTGCAATATTTGATAGATAATATAGTTAGTAAAAGAGGAAATGAATACTTTGTTATGGAACAGATTAAGTGAAAAAATAGATATTTTTTTTTTGTTATGGGAGGGAGGGAGTATAAAAAATCATTAATTGCCACCGTACCTATGTAATTATTACTCACACTTTGTCTTCGATTTTCTGATTCTTCTTTTTTGTGTTTATTTTCCTAAATATTTTTATTTAAAATAATTATTAAATATAAGTACTTTATTTTATTATTAAATATTACCGGAGAATGTTGTACCGCATCATAAATTAAGAAAAATTACTCCCTCACTTCCGTCTCACGTACCGTGTCTGCTATTTTAGGAGGGAGTATAATTAATAGATAATTAAAAATATATTAGTAAAAATAATTATCTTATAATATAAATAATTATAAATTAAGATTAAGATAACTACTTAATTTAATTAAAATTAAAAAAAATAAATTAAAAAATTTAAAATGAGATTAAAGTGTATAATTATTTTTTTAAGAAAAAAATAATATGGTATATAGGACATATAGAAATGGCAATGTGAACATGATATTTGGGACCGACAATTTATTTTTTTCCTACAAATATTAAATGGATGTGACACTATTAGAGAAAGGCGTTTCGTCCATTGCACCAGTTTGTTGAGACATTTTTGTCTATCTTACGTGTCCTAATAACAGAACCCCCAGATAAATACATATACATACATATAGGAAGCTGTAATGATGAGTACTAAATAATTATTGTACATATTTTTAAAATTTTCTTCTTATTACTATTTTGCTATTGTAGAAAATAAATACAGGATTTTACGAAATTACGTTGAATTTTCCTCGTAATTTTTAAAACTGCGTTAAATTTTTTTGTGATTTTATAAACTTTGCGTCTAATTCCCCCATCGGTCTTTTTTAACGGTAGTTGACTTAAATGTGCCAAAATTACGAATCAATTTTTAAACCCCTAAATTACAGATATATTGATTTTTCTTATATTTAGCATAAAAAACAGTAAAATAAACTCTTAAAACCTGATAAAAATAATTAATTTTGAGTATATCTCAATTTTTTGAGGCTAACTATAAGAAAAATGAATATATTTGTAATTTTAGGAGTTTAAAAATTGAGATTCTAAAATTTATTCGCAATTTGGGCGCATTTAAGTCAAATACGTTAAATAAGGAACCTCGTAGGTTGGACGCAAAGTTTATGAAATCACGAGGGAGTTTGACACACTTTTAGAAGTATAAGAGATTTGACGCAATTTCATGAAACTATAGGTAGATTTTATACAATTTAGCCTTATTATTTTTATAAATTGGATATATTTATTTTGAAATTTTGAGTTAAATAATGTCGTTTGTTTAATTTTGATTTTAAATAAAAATTATCATTGTTTTCTGAATAGTTTAGAAAAGAACATATTCATTTAGGCTTAACTTAAGGTATTATTTTATTTTTTTATAATTAATTAAATAATAATAATATCTTATTAGTTAGTTGAGATGTGTAAGATAATTTTTTAATATTTTTACTAAAAAATAAATGAATATTTTTGTAAAATCAAAAGTATTTTGAAATTTAAATATGATTACTCATAAGTATTATAATTAAAAAATTATATTTTTGAATGAAACATAAAAAAAAAAAAAAAAGTAAAATATTTAATTTGGATTGAGATAATATATACTATTTACAATTATGAAAAACAACATCAAAATATATTTATTAAATCAAAATTAAATAAAATATTCATTGTAAGTAACTTAAGGGTGTGTTTATTTGGGAGATTTTTTTCCAAATATATTATTTATCCAATTTTTTTGTTTCTAAAAAATATAAATTAAATATTTATTTTTTATTTTTTATATTATACAAAAAATTAATTTTATATTCAAAACATCACATCATACAACTATTTAAATTCAAAATTCTTACCGTTTAAATTCAAATTCCAAATCCAAATTCCAAACAAACACACCCTAAGAGAATATTTCTAAAACTGTTGCCGCTAATGTGTACGTGTGGGTACAATTTGATTAATTAATGTTTAAATTAGTCAAACTTATGGTTGCATTTTATAAGAAAATAATACCAATAATAATAATAATAATAATAATAATAATAATAATAATAATAAAGAATGTATAGGAATTTGCTCATACATGGGATATATTTCTTATATGTATTATTTTAAATATATTGAAATTTACTAATGTGGACGTTTTTTTATGTCGATTCTGAAAGTTGTACCAACTTTGAAGGTGATATATATTTGGCTACTGAAATATTAAATTAATTGCATCAAAAAGTAGGTCCCAACTTTGAAGGTGATACGTGACTACCGAAATACTCTCACACAGGGTCAGCAAAATATTCAAAATTCGAAAATTCAATCCGAATCAAATCGAAATTTAAAATTTGGTTCGGATTTTTCGGATTGGATCGGATTGAATTTTTAACAAATTTTGAATTTTCGGATCGGATCGGATCGGTATACTTAAAATCCGAACTAATTCGAAATCCGAAATACAACATTTTAATATACTCACTCCGTCCAGTTAGAGAGTATACATGTTTCTATTTTGGGACGTCCAATTACAAAGTAAACATTTCATTAAATACCTTACTTTTTTTCCACAAATACCCCTAATTTAGATCACATCATTACTTTTACACCAAAAAGCAAGAGCAAAAATGTCATTACACTTTTAACTACCCACTATAATTAAAATACTATTATTTCTTAAGCACCGCGACAAAAGTAATTGTATACTTTTTTTGTGGACGGAGGGAGTATTTTTTTATTATACATATTTAACATTTTATTAGAAAATATTATATTTTAATATAAAAAACTCAAATTTATTAATTATATTTTAATATATTTAATTTTTATATATTATATATATATTTAATATTATAAAAAAATAATAAAATTTAAAAAAATTAAAAATTAAAAAAAATAATAAAAATAGTTAGAATTTCGGATTTTTCGGCTTGGTTTGGATTTTTTAGTTCGGATTACGGATTTTCAGATTTCGGTTCGGTTCGAATTGGTTTTTTCAAAAATTTCGAATTTTCGGATCAGTTCAGATTTGGCAAAATCCGAACCAAAAATCCGAATGCTCAGCCCTACTCCCACCGTCCAACCTGAATTGAACTATTTGATTAGGAACACAGTATTTAAAGTAAGAATATTTAATTAGTTAATAATAATTAGTTATGATATTATGATATTATTTTTTTTGTATAATTAATAATATTTGTAGTTTTAAAATAAATTTAATATATATTATTACAAAAATTAAAATATATGTTTAACTATTTAAAAACTATATAACAATTTATGCAATATGAATATCTTAATTAAATGTATACTCGATTTTAACAAACATTTTGATATAATATTTTTGTAAAACGAATTGTAAAAATCGAATAGTAAATAATAAAAAAAATGCAAATAAACACACCATTTTTGTAGTTCAACTGTTATCAAAATGCTTCCATTGCAAGAGTAACGCATTTAATATAATATTTTTACTTACATAAAAATACAATCTTAATTAAACTCCAAAAAAAAAAAAAAGTCAAACCAAACAAACCTTGAATAGATTTTTGGAAGTGTTAACAAAATTGTTAGTATTATATATAAATTTTCAATTAAAAACAAAGGCACATTAGCATTAGCATGGCATACTCCTTTTGTAAAAAGTAATATTTTAGTTTTTTTATTTTATTTATATAATAATTTAATATAATATTAATATTAATAAAATTTCGTGCAAAAAATAAATTGATAGATAAAATATGGACAAAAGAAATATATTTTTTCATATAGAAAAATAGATATTACATATATATCGATTTTAACTACAAATACAACAATTAACTCAATAAATTTTAACACTAAAAAACCCAAATCAAGTTATTTGCATTTTATTTAATAAAAATATAATTTTTACATTTATTTTGAAATTTATATAACACACAAGAAAAAAAAAAAAAAAAATAAAAGGAAAAACTAACATTCTTCCTAATATATTGTCCAAAAATAATTATTTATTTATTTAGGTGTTACTTAAGAGTAAAACAAAGAATTACAGTTAGGAGTCGCAATGTGCAATTAATGCATTCACGTAATCAGACGTTTATTTAATCTAATTAATGTAATAATCTACACAGCATTAATTTTTAAAAAATAATAATTGTACAATAGGCTTCCTATATTATTTAGTAATAATAATAATAATAATAATGATAATAATAACCCCTCCGTCGTGCAAAAAGAGTCCCGTTTTTTTCACATAAATTTTTTGAATATTAATATTATATTAATTTATAATAAAAAATATGATATATAGAACAAGGAAGTAATAAATTTGTAAGTATTTTAGTATTATTATTATTATTAAAAAAATTGGAATAAAAATAAAACAGAGTTTCACGAGGGAGGGATTGCTGCTGATGAGATTTGGATCCACACTGATACACACTACTGTATGTATCTATCTGTATGTATATATATAATTATATATATATTGTGTAATGCACCGCTATATCCTCTTCGCTCTCTTCTCTTTGCCTCTCTCCTCTCTCTTTCTCTCTCACTCTTATTCTCTCTCTCGTGTTTCTCTGAAATTGAGCCAAAAGCCGCGTGGGGGGATTGCTGCTGAGAGGGGGAATTGAGAGGGAAGCGTTGCTTGTGTGTTTGTATGTGTGTGGGGGAAATCAAGGAATTGATGCGGGGAGGAGCTGAGAAGAGGACAAAGTTAGGTGTCGTGTGGAATTCATGAAAACGGGCGGCGGAGGAAGAGGCGGCTGAAATCGAGGCTATTTTTATTGTGTATTAATTAATTTTTTTGATTCTGGTTTGCACCGGCGGATTTTGCATCTCTTTAAGGTACGAGCTGCGGACGAAATGCTGTTTGCTTTCTTCTTCTTCGGGTGTCTGGTGCTGTTTGTTCGTTCCTTCGTTTGTTATTATTGTTTCGTGATTCATCGTCTGAGGGATTCCGTTTCGTGCGGCGTTGGTCCGAATTGGGGATTCTTTGTGGTTTTGGATTCACTGAATCTCGTGTTCCTCTGAAGTGATTAGAGTAGAGTGAAATTCGGTTTCGGTTTAGCTTGCTTCTGCTCGTCAGTGATTGCTTCGTGATTGAGGCAGAAGCTCATGATTTGTTCTCATGAGTTGAATATTTAGCTGTGTTAGTTAGTTAATTCATTGTTGATTGTTCGTTATAACAATATTAGTGTTTGTTCACAGTCATAGCTTGTGAGATTGCTTAGTTTAGCTCTCTGATCTATGAAGAAATTTTTAAACAAATCTATGCCAGGTTTAGAACTGTCGTTTTCCTTTTTGCCTGGTTCAAAAGCACTGATTCATTTTTCATTTTCTGATAATTTTGTTGATTGCTATGTCTTCTGGTTGGCTTAAATTGGCTCATTTTGGTTCACATGTTATTGTATGATTATTGTTCTGTGCGTATGGTTATCCAGGTTGCGAAATGTCGAGGCCTCTTCATCGAGGTGTATCAGGAGGTATTCGATTTTCAGGGAACAGTAATGATCTCTGGGCAGATTCTCAGATGAAAGAAAGGAGTGAAAAGGAAGATGTAAGTCGCAGTCGTGTGAATGGAACTGATCACAGCGATTTATCGATGAAGTTTCCTTTTAGGTTTCTTTTCGCCGATAATTTATCCTCAAAGCCAAGTTTAAGTGAGAATGGCTTCATGCCTGATCCCTTCAGCCCCGGCGCTATAAGGAATCGGCACAAGATGACACTCAAATTTCTCAAATTAAGTTTAGCGGCGATTGTAATTCTCGCAATCACTGGTTCGTTATGGTGGACACTTTCCTTCACGACTAAATCAAGAGGACAAATATTCAGGGGGTATAGACGACTGCAAGAACAGCTTGTATCCGACCTGTATGAAATAGGAGAGCTTTCTCTAGGTTCTTCAAGGTTGAGAGAATTCGAGTATTGTTCTCAGGAATTGGAAAACTATGTTCCTTGCTTCAATGTTTCAGAAAATCGTGCTCTCGGATTTTCTGGCGGAGAGGAGTATGGCCGCCATTGCGTCCATGGTTTAAAACAGGACTGTCTGGTTCTTCCTCCCGTCAATTATAAAATTCCTCTTCGATGGCCTACTGGAAGAGATGTTATCTGGTTTGCAAATGTTAATATCACAGCACAGGAGGTGTTATCTTCTGGAAGTTTGACGAAGAGGTGAATGATCGAGCAAATAGTGTTTCGATTGTCCGACATAAATCTTTATCTTGTTCTCATCTACTTATTTTTTTTGCCTGCAGAATGATGATGCTGGATGAAGATCAAATTTCCTTCCGTTCAGTGTCATCTACGTTCGATGTTGAAGATTACTCGCATCAAATTGCAGAAATTATCGAGCTAAGAAATGTATCCTACTTTTCACAAGCTGGAGTAAGTCAACACTTTTTCTTCCCCTTGTAATTTCCCTTCTGCATTCTTCCATTCGTCGTTATTATTATAAGTTTATTGCCTCGCGGGTTTACTGTTTTTTGGTTGTTGTAAGTGCTGTCTGATTCAAATCACCCCGGGTAGACCATGTTGCAGAAATAAATTTCCTTATTTGTTCCATTTCAGATTCGAACCATCCTCGACATAGAATGTGGTTATGGTAGTTTCGGTGCACATCTATCTTCTTACCAATTATTGACCATGTGTCTAGCAAATTACGAGGCTTCCGGCAGTCAAGTTCAGTTAACTTTAGAAAGAGGTCTTCCTGCAATGATCGGTTCATTTACATCGAAGCAGCTGCCATATCCATCTCTCTCTTTCGATATGATACATTGTGCAAGATGTCGAATCGAGTGGGATAAAAAAGGTACATTCTATCTCTTACTCAATTTTTCGGTATTTCTGCAGCCTTCAATTATATCGATAATAAATAAACAGTGTTCTTGCTTCGAAGTTTGAAAGAACAATGGCTTTTGGTTTCTACAATAGATTATTATCTAGTCGAAATTTGCGGCCATAGTTCATGGTTCTTCTTATGTGGTGCAGATGGCATATATTTGTTCGAAGCTGATCGGCTTTTGAGACCCGGCGGATATTTCGTGTGGACCGATCCGATTATAAATTCTCACCGCTCTCTTCGCAACAAAACCAACCTGAAGAAATGGAACACGGTGCGTTCCCTCGCCGAAAACCTCTGCTGGAAGATGCTACCCCAGCAAGACGAAACTGTCGTGTGGAAGAAGGGTAGTGACAAGAAGTGTTATTCGACACGGTAAAACTAACCTAATAGAATGCTTATTTACGTATAACATTTTATTGTTCCGTTACGCTCTATCAGTATTATACATGATTCAATTTATGAACTGTTTTTATGTACATTTCCAGGAAAAATAGTTCCCCGACACTCTGCAGCAAGAACCACGACATCGAGTCTCCGTATTCTCGATCGCTCCAATCGTGTATCGGTGGGACTCGGAGCCGGCGATGGTCATCTATCGAAGACAGGAGAAAATGGCCTTCCCGAGCTAAATTAACGTCGACCGAACTAGGAATTCACAGTACGTGTTTCCCTCCTGTGTCGAGATTCTGAAATTAATCGATCCCCGATTGATTGAAATAAAGTTCTCGTTTTTGTTTCAGGTTTGAACAACGAAGAATTCACCGAGGACGCGATTAACTGGAACTCGGCAGTCCGCAATTATTGGTCTCTCCTCTCGCCGCTAATATTCTCCGATCATCCTAAGAGACCCGGCGACGAGGATCCTTCACCCCCTTACAACATGCTGCGGAATGTGCTCGACATGAACGCTCGTTTCGGCGGATTCAACGCGGCGTTGTTGGAAACCGGGAAATTGGTGTGGGTTATGAACGTGATCCCGACTAGGGGACCGAACAACCTGCCGTTAATTCTCGACAGGGGATTTGTCGGAGTGCTGCATGACTGGTGACTCTCTAAACGATCGATATCGATCATAAATCAGTTCGTTAATTATATATAAGTTGGATTGAAATTTAAATCGATCTTTACGTTCAGGTGCGAACCGTTCCCGACGTATCCTCGAACGTACGATCTTGTTCATGCTGAAGGGCTTCTTTCCCTCGAGTTCGTCGAGCAGCCGAGGTGCCAAATGCTGGATTTGTTCGCCGAAATCGATCGCATACTTCGCCCGGAGGTAAATTCTCGATTCTAAAGAACTTCCTTCGTCCGCCAAATTTACTCAACTTTCTTTTTTACTAATTTTGACGAAGTAAAAAAGTCAACATTTAACTATATTATTCTCAATTCAACAGGTATTTACAAAAATATTACTATCTTTTTGCTTTTATCATTTTTTTCAATAAAATATTTATTTTTCTTAATTTTCGTCTCGGACACAAAATATTCTAAATTTATCGGATGGAGGGAGTACATTCGATCGAAATTCATTTTCTTTTTACACAAGGAATACGAAATCTTATGTGGAATTTTTTCTGAAAAACTACAGGGATGGGTGATCCTTAAGGACCGGGCACATTTGATCGAGCACGCGAGATCGATGACGACCCATCTGAAATGGGACGCTCGGGTGGTGGAGATCGAGAGCAACAGTGAGGATAAGCTCTTGATCTGCCAGAAACCTTTCGTGAAGCACCAGTCGAGCTAGCTCCGCTCCGGCCTGGCCCTGCCCGAGTGAGTATTATACAGACTGGTACTACTACTACAGAAAGCATATTTATTGATTGCATTTGTTTGTGGATCTAATTCCCCTCAAGGGTGGAAAGTGTTCCATTTTTTGGACTGTGAAAACAGAGGACAAGACACAAAATTTGCATACAGAGGGAGGGAGGGAGGGTGGATGGCAAAAATATTCGACTATTCGATTCGATGGTCGGATCCAAACATCGGTAATTATCGATGAATGTTGTTGTTATATATCCTGTCCTATGGAGATAACCGCAAGGAAGACATGGGAAGGTATATGTACTACAGATTTACTATATTGAGAGATTACACTGGTCATGTTTTTTTTTTTTTTTTTTTGGGGGGGGGGGGGGGGGGTGTTTGGGGGTTTAGGTCTGGTGGTGTCTTTATTGTAGAAAAAGGGTATAAAATTTTATTGTGGAAAGATGCCAGAAATAAGTTTGTGGCATATAATATACAGAGTTTTTATTTTTTGGATTATTTGGAGGTATGAGAATATGAAGGTGACATTTTATGAGAATATGGTAGTGGTTAAAGATTCTTTAGCAAAACTGTGGCTGGTTTCGATGTGTCTCAATTATTGGACTCGCTCACTCCCCACGCAATTTGTTCCTGTGTGTTTGTTTAAAAGATTTGGGAGAATTTCTCCTATTTATATAAATGTTTCTTTCTAAAAATATAAAATCAAATACTACTTTCGTCCGCCAGGTGACCTGAGATATGTGAGATTTGAATCCATGACCGTCCAACCCCCACACCATCATGCCGTCGCTTACGGAATAAGAATATTTTTAATATGAAATATAATGACACAAAATATAACTGTAACTTCATAGGCATCAATTCATATATGGCATCATTTATTTCAATTCAAATTTTTAACGTTTTCTAACTCAAAATTCAAACTCTCAAACAAATACACCCTTACATTGTTATAGTTAATAACTCCTGCAATGAGCAAGTACCAACAAAAGCAATGCATCATATTCGTTCCATCCCCACCAACCGTTACGTTGAAAACAATTTCTTTAATACTTCTACTACACTATCTTCGTTGCCATGCAACAATAATAAAGTACAAGAACCTATCCACAAGAGATGGTCTCGTAATTGTAAAATTACAGGTTCAAACCCCGATGTTTTTGGATCTTACTTGTTATATATATAATTCGCCTAGTATATCAGATCTAATTTACATACTATTAGATTCAGTCGAAAATTTAACTACAACGCATTCGAAGAGTAACAGCTGAAAACCAACTAATAATCTAATAAGAATGTCCTCCTACTCTCCGGCTCTGCTGTTGTCTAGCCCTACTACTACTACTTCTTCCGTTTTTGCTGCCTCCGGGCCTTGATCCTGGCCCTGTTCCTCTTGTTCGTTAGGGCATGTCGGGAGATGAGATCAACGTCCCTCATCGTATTGGCCCTACTACAACTACTACTACTCTTAGTGGCGGGGACGGGCTGGTTGTTGAGGAAGACGAGGTTGGGGAGCAGTCCGCAGACGGTCCTTCGGAGGTTGTCGTGGCTTAGGTTTGTCTGAATGGGATTCCCCACGAGGTTCAGCGCTGCGAGGGAGTTGTAGTTAGCCACCAGCTGGCCCAGCCCGAGCCCCGTCGTAGCAATCTTGTTGAAGCTGAGGTCCAACACTGTTAGCTTCAGTAGTCGATGGAGACCCTCCACTTTGCTTATTTTGTTCCCCGCTAGATACAGCTCTTTGATCGCTCTACATGTCGACACCCCTATATATATATGGACCAAATCACGAACACCCATAAATAATTATAAACCTCGTTTTTAAAAAAAAATTTTATATTAGTAATTAAAACGTCAAATAAAAATAATCTTTTAGTACAATATGTATTACTATATATATTGAAACCGGGCTTATTTGGAAAAATAGTCTTTTATTACAGATAATATATGATATATGTAATAAAGATTGTTTATTGATAATAATATAATATAAGTATAATTTTTATAAAAATAGTAGTCTAACTTTTTTTTTATTATTGGAAATATTAGAATGACTCCATTTATATAAAAACTTGACTGTGTTCTTTTCGGCTTTTCTTTGAATTCTTTGCTACTTTTAAATTTGTATTTTTTGAAAAAAAAAATATATATTTTTTATAAATCTACCGTATCAAATATTATTTAAAATTGTGAAATTTTGTAATAATTTGAAAATATTTAAAAACCTTTTATTATTTTCAAAACAATTTAAATTCTAAAATTTCAAAAACCTTTATAATCACAGATTTTGATCATAGGAATAAGTACGTACGTACGTACCTTGTCCAATACGAGAGATTCTGTTGTAGCTGAGATCAAGAACCCGAAGTCGTGTCAGTTCCCTGAGCCCCTCAATCCTCTGTATTCTGTTCCGTGACAAATTCAGCACGTGCAAACTCCCAGGCAGACATCCCCTCGCTATATGAACTGATCAAACACAATTATTTACAACATCATATTAATCAAACTGCAAACTTTTAATACATACATACATATATACATACGTACGTACCGATGGAGTTGCCGGACAGGTCGACGGACCGAAGGCCGGAGAGCCGCGACATCGCCGGCACCGCCGTCAGTCCGGCCGCCATCATATAAGCCACTGTTGACAGCCCATTCAACGACTGCACTACGCTATTCGTGTGCAAAATCTCCTCCGTCGTGTGACGTAACGACGAAGCCCTCGCCGGCAACCTCTCGGGAGACGCCAGGAAGTCGACATGATCGTCGTCGTCGTCGAACTCTGGCTTTCGCACCGTCGAGGCTTCCTTCAACCACTCTTCCACTCGATTAAACGACGACGACGAATAAGAAGACAGAGACTCCATAGGCAGCGCAAACCACTGATTCCAAACCCGCGAACTGTAAACTGCAGTAAACGACGATTTGCTGGACTCCTTCGACGGCACAGATTCTAAGGTGTCCGAGTGGTATCCTCCGCGCTCGGTGGCTACGACGGGATCGGGTATTTGGCTCGAAGACTGCTTCTTTAGCAACACTTTGTCGGCACTAAGATGCGTCGTCATTACAGAAACAGGGCTCGAACAGGGGAATGCATTCGCCTCTGGGAGAGGGGCCGTCTCGGAAAACTCGATTCTTTTCCACCGAATTAATTCGGAGCACGGTCGATTGAGCTTTGGGGCCTTCATCCCGGAATCTTGATTCGAAGTGCCGGGATCGCTATCATGTCCGTTTTCAATCATCTCCGGGCTTTCTTCCATGTCAGTGTTATTATCCTGAGAGGTGTCGACGTCGGGGAGGCATTGATCGCCGGATTGTAGATCGAAATCAGAATTATCCTTGACGCCGGGAACGTCATCTTCGATCACCTTCACCTGACACGTGGAATTCTCCGGCACGGCAAAAGGAACCGGAACTGGAACAGTGAAAGAGCTAGTTTTCGTGTCTAAAGGTTTCTGGCCATTCTCTACACACTCAACTTTTATCTGCAGAGTTTTGCTGCTCTTGCTCTTGTTCTACAATCAAACACAGATAACAAAATGGTCTCAATCTAAGATTAAAATTTATTCACAACCGTAAACGATCATTTCACGAGAACAAAACTGTAAATTAACACATATTTGATGGAAAGTGTGAAAATATTTTGCGGAAATTGGAAAATTGCATTATATTGATCGTCAAAATATGAATAATGTATATAGTCACCGTAGAACACAAATCTAATATTAAGTATTTAAAATATGTCAACATCCCCTTAAACTCAAGTGATATAACATAAACAATGCTCTCAACTGAATTAGAATCGAAAATAATAAGACTCACAACAGAATAAAAAACGACAAGACTATCACTGAAGCCGAAAATGACATAAGTACTCTTCAAAAATTCAGAAATAATAGGGCTCTAAACAGAAACGACAAGATTCTAAACAAAAATACTAACGACTACACCTCCGTGTACATTTCAGGTTGAATATACCTAGAGATGCGAATTAATATATTGTATCTACTCCAACAGAAAAATAGGCTCTTATACAATGTAGAAATTAATTATGAAAATTTAAAAATTAAATTGTATCAATCATCAAAATAAAAATCTATTAAAAAGTAAAGCTACACTCACCATAGTGGTTTTGTTCTTCAAGGAAGAGGTGAAGCAGCAACTGAAGACGCCCATCCTAGAATCCTCTTACGAGAAAATTCCTTCGAAAGAAGTTATGGCAGCTGATCTATCATACGTCGTTAGAGCACACAGAGATTAGTTCCAGCAGGAGGACTTAATTACATTGGATTTAGCTTTATCCAATCAATCAGCAGTTTCCAACGTAAATCCGAAGAACACGAGCCCCAAATCTCCAACCCTAATTCTCCAATTCCAATTCATCAATCCTTCTCCAAAATCCTCACCTCTATAAACACAATCACAGACCATCACAGCACCAAATTACAGCCCCAATCCCTACAGAAACACCGAAACAGTTTTACCCTAAAAAGCACAAACACACAAACAACACATCAAAAGCTCTTTTGTACATATTTATATATATAGCGTAATCAAAGCGGTAGGCCAAACCAACCAGACAATTAATTACATAATATTGCAAAATTAATAATCGAGCCATGGAATGGAGCAGAGAAGTTACCAGAAACTTACAAAAACCTTGCTACGCAGTGACGTATCGTATCGTGTCGTCTTCAATTGCATTTGCCTCAGACCACAACACACGCAGTCAGAACGAACGGGCGTATATGGAAGATCTTCCCGCGTTTGTTACGCGGTGAATTGAGATCGAATATAATTAGGCAGAAATCGTTGTCAGGATTCGTAGGGATGGATGGAAGGAGGGAGCGATTCTGTACGCAGACAGAGTGAGTCCGTTAGCCACTGTACTTCCATATTTAAATATTTAACGATAATGGTGAAAGTACCCGCCATTAACAAACCCATAATTTTGGCGCGTGTAGATATACTATCCGAATGGATATAAACAAATATCGAATATTATATCTTAAAATCAAATCACCATGCTCCTGAGATTTGACAGCATATCATATCAAAGTAATAAGTAAATATTTTGGCATAATACTAAATACTTTGGTCTGATATACATAATTTGTCCTTATTTTCTATTTTCGTCCATATTTCATATAATCTGTCATTTTCCTTTTTAAAATATAATTATCCACTTTAATCATAATTTTTAAATTTTTAAATTTTAATTAAATTATTTACTTATTTTAATCTTAATGTATAATTATTTATACTAATACACTTTTTAATTACATACTAATTATATTTTAATTAAATTCTCGTATCTACGAAAATAGATCCAAAATATATGAGACGGAGGGAGTATTGCTTCTAAGGAGTCACATTTACCTTTTGCGTCGTTATACTTAACGTTAAAAATATTATTATATTTGTATAATTTTTTGTACGATATAATAAATAATATTCAAAAATTAATGCACAAAAAGTAAATGAAATCCTTAGAGCCGAACGGAAGGAGTATTACATTATAAATTAAATATTACTTAAATAAATTACTTCCAATCAAATTTTCAACGAAATTTCTAAAACAAGAGAAGAAGTACTTCATCCGTCCTACATAATTTGTCTCTATTTTCTATTTTCGTCTGTCCCACATAATTTGTCCTTTCCTTTTTTAAAATTGATTATACACTTTAATCATATTTTTTAATTTTTTTAATATTATTTAAACTATTTAATTATCTTAATTTTAATCTATAATTATATTTATTAATATATTTTTTAATTATTTATTAATTATATTTTATCTAAAAACTATCATTTTATGTAGTACAGAGGCGGTAGTTAATTTGATGCACTGTTACACGCCCGTAGATATGGAGTGGAGTGGTGTGGGGTGGAGTGGATTCCTGCACAAATAAATTTGGGGGGGGGGGGGGGGGGGTGAAGGGATTTGGGGTGGGCTCCAACCCAACTCCAAATTTTCTCTATTTTTGTAGATAAGTATAATATTATTTTATTTTTGGAGTAACATGTTACTCTATTCTAAAAATAGAGTGGAATTTTTTATATTTTTCGTATTTTTTGGGTTTATTGTGTAATTTTAATTTTTTTAGTAGATGATATATAATTTTATATTTTTAAAAAGTTGTATGTAATTTTATTTTTTTGAAAAATAATGTATAATTTTATTTTTTAAAAGTGATATAATTTTAGTTTTTGGAAAGTAATATAATTTTATTTTTTTAAAAAAATAATATATAATTTTATTTTCTAATCAAAAAATAAATTAAAGTTGGGGTGTAATTTATAAATATGAAAAATTATATAAAATAATATAAAAGAAGTTTATGATTGAAGTAAAGTTACTGTAGATCAACTGCATTTTTACTGTAATGCAAAAATAGAGTTGAGGATTGGAGATGACTAAGTCTCTGTTTTGTTACTGTTTTATTGTTGTTTGAGATTATACGTAACTACTTTTTTATCAAAATATTCTACATCATATGGAATCTATTCAAAATATTTTATTTATATTTCTCATCAATAAACAAATTTCATATATATTTTTAAAATTAATTTATTTTAATTATAGATGAGTATTTATTTATTTTTATTGTCTTACTAAAATTCTATACAAAATAATATTTATATTTTATATATTTTATTAAAAAATTCAGTTATTAAAATGATTAAATACATATTTTAAATTTTTTAACTATATATATTACATTATTAATTAAAGAAATCACTCACAACTTAATTTCTACTTAAAAACTCAACCGTTAATCAAGCACAATTTAAATAGTCATAGTTTGATTTATGTGGCAGGACCAGAGCTGTTAACGAGTTGAATCGAACAAAATTTTAAATGTTCATGTTCGTTCGTTAACGTTCATGAACAAGACTCGTGTTCGTTCATTAAGCTTTCGAGTTCGTTCGCAATGTTCAAGCTCGGCTTGTTAAGAATATTTATCGTTTGAGTTCGTGTTCGTGTTCGGCTCGATTAGACTCGATGAAGTTCGTTCGAGTTCGTTTGTCTCCCTTTTTTAATTTATATATAAATTAAAAGGAAATGAAATTATTTTACTTATTTATTTTAAATTGATATTTTATTTATTTATAAATTATAATTTTATATGTATATATAATATTTATAATAAATATATTATTTTAACGAATGTTCGCGAACAAAGCTCAGATTTGTTCGTTAATCAAACGAGTTTGTTTATGTTGTTCAACTCGACTTGTAATATTTGCGAATCGAGTCGAGTTCACGAATGGCTGAGTTCGTTTAAGCAGGAGAACACACAAAAAATAGATCACTCCTTGTGCCGACGGTGACGTGTCCCAATCGATAATGACCGTCACTATATGGTCCTAAACTATCCTCACCAAGCAAAGTGTCTCCTAATGCTAGAATTGGAAACCTCCGGGCCTACATTTTGGGTAAACTTGATTGTGAGGTTATGAGTTCAAATTTTTAACATTATTGAGTTTTGTCTCTCACTCATGTTACGCTTAGTATAATTTATTTTGTCAAATCTAATTTACTTTTAAAAAATTTTGAATTTGAATATTTATTTCATATGATATAATCAGGGATTTAATTTATATTTTAGAGGAAAATTTGTAATAAGAAGCTTACTAAACCCTTTAGTCCTAACTAAACACACATTTGTATCAAATCCTTGTAGATTAAACGGTGAGATATACCTATATGATAAGGTCGGCAACAATATATATATATTTTTTTATGAATTCTCACTCATTAATTTTTATTTTTTTTTATCATTAATTTTTTTTTTTATCATTTCTTATTTTCTTTTGATCAATTTATCTAAATTAATGTATAATTTTAAAATCTTCAATTAAATTATTATGTTATCAAACAAAATAATAAATTATCATTGTCTCATGTATTTTATTTCTCCACAATTTTATTATCTACTTTCATTTATTAATTTCATTATATATATCAAATGCACCCTTATAAGTGTACATTCCAATTACTTATTGTAATGCACTCAGATTGACTATGTTTATTTGGAATTTTATTTTAATTTATTTATATGTATTTTTATGTGATTATTTATAAAAATGTACCGAGTTTGTTTGCTTTTGGCTTCAAATTACAATCACACACGGATTGGAAAAAAATATATAGTAACGATATGTAGTATAATATTTTTAGTATGATTTTAGTATTTCAGCATATATTGTATACTGTATTGATATTTTGGTATTTATTATATTATACTTCCTCCGTCTTGTTTATAATTTTTGTCCGTCCCAAAATAATAGTCTCATTTTTATAAATAATCATATCACCAAAAAATTATCCCTATTTTTTCATTATTATTACACAATTGCCACTAATTTTTATACTAATATACTCACAAGGGCAAAAAAGTTATTAATATCAATATTTCTTAAATTTCGTGCCCAACACAATAAGATTATACTTCTTTTGAAACGGAGGGAGTATATATCAATAATTTAATATGTTAAATTTTGTAAGAAATGACTCGACGGTGTGAGGATATTTCGAAAATTGGGTACAATATTACTCTCTCATTTTCACATATTTATTGTAAATATGAAAATTTATATAAAGTATAATTAATAAATAATTAAAAAAATTATTAGTAAAAATATTTATTAAATAATTAAAATAATTATGAATTAAAGATTGAACAAATAAAAATACAAACGCAATCCAAACACACATTTTATATTTTTTGTATACTTGTAAATTGTATAGTTTTAAAATTAAAATTTACAATTTATTACTCTACCTCTTCCACTTAAACTGTTTAATCCTTTTATTTTCGTATTTATTTATTTATTTTTATTTTTATAAATATAATTATACATTTTCATTTTAATTTAATTATTTAATTATTTTAAAAATATAATTATATATTTAGGGTGTGTTTGCTTGCAAGATTTTGCAAAATTCTTACTATTCATCCAATTTTTCTCCCCCTCAAAATATTAAATCAAACACCTATTTTTTATTTTTTATATTATATTAAAAATTAATTTTACATTCAAAACATCACATCAACTCCTATTTATATCACATCGTACAACTATTCAAATGCAAGATTTTTACTATTCAAATCCCAAATCAAAATCCAAACAGTCAAACAAACACACCCCTTGATCACAATTTAAAAGCAACGCAGGGAGAGAACCGCTGGCGTGGGAGGAATATGACAGAGGTCGGTTGCAAAAACCGCAGTCCATACACTAAACATGTGAGCGACTGAAACAGAGCGCTAAATCCAACGGCTAGTTATTGGTCATTCCCGAAATCAACGGCCCATGTTTCACGACCCGGCCGTCGCGCAATCCAAGGCAGATTTTTAACCGCCCACTGTACCCCACCCCACCCCACCACACTGGTAAAATTCAGTCCGCAAGCAAAGATGAAAAGAATCACCCTTTTCCTTATGTAGAGGAAAAACAAGAGAAAAGAGGGAATCTCAGAAGAATAACCATATAAAGTCATTCATTTCGGACTCAGTGGGGCGGCCGAGAGAGAGAGAGCGCAGAGAGATGGAGAACGAGAGAGAACAGCAGGTTTACTTGGCGAGACTTGCGGAGCAAGCCGAGAGATACGATGGTGATCTTTCCATCTTTCGCTTTTTTTTTTGATTGTTTGTTTTGATATTGTTTTCGCGAATTTTATGTTCGTGTTTTGGCGTCTGTGCAATCGGTTGAGTTTTCTTCTTTCTTTTTAAACTATTGTTGTTGTGGAATCTGAAACCGTGCTAGATTTTTGGTCGGCTTTGCGCTGGTTTTAATGTCTTTTTAGTGCTTGAGATGCGGAAGGCGTTGGAGTGTGAGTCAATTTCTAGATCTGCTTGTTTTAGGGTTTCGGAATACGGCGAATGGTGGAATTTTGCTTCCAGTTATGGTGAATGTAATATGATTATCGTTTTTCCTTGTATCACTGATTTTGATTCTCAATGAAATTTATATACTTAAATCAGGTTTATGGATAGCAAAAATTAGTGTTTCCTTCACAGTTTTGTTTTCTCTATGAAGAACTAATTGCCTTGTAGACTGTTCTGTTGGTTGTCCACCTAAATCTTATCTCATATGTTGAAAAACGTGCTATCTGCCTATGTGGTGACTATTATACTCATCGTAGAAAACTATTCTTTCTTAAATAAGTAATTGAAGCATTTTGTAGTTGATTTATATTGGTGACATTTATTCGGTGAGTAATTTTCTATGGCTGTTTTGGAATCAGAAATGGTTGAAGCAATGAAAAAAGTAGCTAGGTTGGATGTGGAACTGACTGTGGAGGAGAGGAATTTAGTGTCGGTTGGATATAAGAATGTGATTGGAGCTCGAAGGGCGTCATGGAGAATTTTGTCCTCAATTGAACAAAAGGAGGAGGGCAAGGGACACGAACAGAATGTGAAGAGAATCAAGAGTTACAGACAGAGGGTCGAAGATGAGCTCACAAAGATATGCATGGACATTTTGGCAGTCATTGATGAGAACCTCCTTCCATCTTCGACAACTGGAGAATCGTCTGTTTTCTATTATAAAATGTAAGCAAATTTTACAGTTATTAACTGTAAACATTGAATTCTAAAGATGAAAAGGTGCTGTCCTGGCTTTACTTAGCTGTTTGTTTCGTTCTGTAACGATTTATGACTTCTGTGCTTTTAGTCTTTAACTTGCGATTCTTTGTCTTAGTGATATCTTAATCGTGATTTCTTGTTTTGATCTCTTTAGGAAAGGAGATTATTATCGATATTTAGCCGAGTTCAAAACAGGGGATGACCGCAAAGAAGCTGCAGATCAATCTCTCAAGGCGTACGAGGTTAATATCCCACACACTTTTAGTTTTGAATGTTTTTAACGTTGGGTATATACCTTGGATATGATCTTGTCAGAGTTTGGACATATAAAATGTGTGATTTGGGGTGTTTGATCCTCACATTTCAGGCTGCCACAAGTGCTGCTTCCACCGACCTCCCTCCAACGCATCCTATACGGCTTGGCCTGGCCCTGAACTTCTCTGTTTTCTACTACGAAATCCTGAATTCTCCAGAGAGGTTTGTTTTCAATTTAGCATAACAATTGTGTTTATCGCGTAGTTGTTAGCATATTTATGTTCAATAACTAGAGATTAATGTGCCATCGCTCACTGTACCGAAATTTGTGTTCATCGGTAATTTAACAAAAAAATCTGTAACAGGGCCTGCCACCTTGCAAAACAAGCATTTGACGAGGCAATTGCCGAACTGGACAGCCTGAATGAAGAGTCCTACAAAGACAGCACTCTCATTATGCAGCTTCTCAGGGACAACCTTACTCTATGGACGTCTGATCTTCCAGAAGAGGGAGGTATTAATTCCCGAATTCTTCCTGGTTGTTCTTGACAATGAGTTAATCATTTAACACTTTGTGAAATTCTCAAGTACCCCATTTTTGTGGTGACAGGTGAGCAATCCAAGGGAGACGAGCCGCAAGGAGAGGTAAGAATTATTCAATAGCAAAGTTAACAATGTTTCGATCAATTTTGTTCGCAAAATGTGAGGATGCATAGTAGTTTTTGCTTTTGCTTATTCCGATCAATTCTTTTGCGGTGCATTGTTGTTGTGCAGAGCTAGCTAGCTTTAGCTTCAACACCGAACCTTTGGCGCCGGCGTCCCCTGTTGTTTATTTGAATTAATTGCATGGATCAGAACATCATTTGCCTGTATCATCTTATTGCCAATTTGGTAAATTTGCTGAATTCTATTTGTTTTCTTCGATGACAAAAATGAATCGATCATGCTCATGTGTGTTGTTCTTTTTGTGTTTTTATAGGATTTGATTTTTGTATGTTGTTTTTTAAGTGAATATGGTCATAAGTTATGAGTGTGTTATTTTGTCGGCCCATTAAAGTGGTTTCACCAGACTTGAAAAACCCTGGTGCAAGCTGGTTTAAAATAGGCCAAGATTGGGTGGGTCGGAAATCGAAGGATCTGTTTGGTCATAGTTTGAAATTAATTTGAATTTTTGGTTAAATAGTATTTCCATGTTAACGTTTTTATTAGAGACAATAGCTTTGGTTTTTAGTTGAAATAGTAAAAGAAGAAAGTGGGCTTTCTTAGGTTGGTTTGTATTTTTATAATTTTTAGATGAAAATGTATTGGGTATTGATATTATGAATAGACAAAATTTGTTATAAAGGTGATGTTTGTTTTTTTGGGAAATTGAAATATTATAGTAGCACTTGAAAGAATTTCAAAGCAAATAAGCCCTTTCAATGTGTTTAATTGGTTATTTATTTATTTATGTTTTTTTACAAGAGAAAGAGTAGTTTTGTTTAAAGTTTTTTATATTTAAATTTTTATTTAAATAGTGTTTTTTATATTATACTCCTGTCTCGATTCAATATATATATATATATAATAGATTAAAAAATAAAAATATTTTATTGTTTAATCGAAATGTAAAAAAAGATTGAAAGTACAAAGAAATTAAATATTTTTGTAAAAGTCTGATATACAATTATATATTTATAATAAACATTTACTTTTTCTCACAAAAATATTGTATCAAAATTTATTTAAATAAATATTTTGAGATATTTTGGTGTCTATAGCTATTTTAAATTTAAAGTAAAAAATAATGATTTGTATTAGTATTATTTTCTTTTTTTTTGTAGAGAGTTGTGTTAAGTGTATAGGCTCCCTTGGGACAGAGGTTTTTGGGCGTTTTGAAATATTTAAACATAATAATAAAATTAATATTTGATATAATATTTTGTGTTAAAAAAATATCTGTTTTGTCCGTCAAATTAAATTGCATAGTAATAAACTTTTGTTGTAATTTTGTCCCCTAGATTTATGTGAATAACTCTTGCAAATATTTTAAAAAAGAAAAAGAAAAACATTTAAAATGAGTGATATTCGATGATAATGTAGTGTGAGACAACAAATCAATTAGATTTGAAGGACCAAAATATCTTCAAAATTGACAAGATGCATATGATGGGATAAGAAATATGTTCTTAAATAAATAGACTTTTCAAAGGCCAGCAATGCAGCTAGACGTGGAAGGAAGCCTTCTAGATGACCTAACTTATAGTATAGTATAAGGTCACTGATTCAAACCTTGTCATATTTTATATTTTTTATTTTATATTTTTGTGGATTAAATCTATCATAGGATGCACATTCAAATAGTAGTAGTTATAGAAGATTCTCGTATTATATGTGTATATATAAAATATAACAAACAATAAATAAAATTTAAACAGCAACTGTATATTGTTTATAATATTAGCGTGTATCTTAAATTTTATACTATACTATTATACTAGTACAAAATTTAATGTGTTTTTAATAATGTAGTATTTTATTTGTATTGTATAGTAAATACATAGCACAGTATAATATACACAGTAACTTGGGCAGAGGTGTGCAATAAAACACGTCATTCACGTGCCTCATGTATCTCTTCTCTGTCTGGGTCAGTCTGACTAGAGACAGCGAGGGGGGGTGGTTTGATGGTATCCACCAAATTTAAAAAAATATATTATTATTATAGATAATGCACTAATCCAAAATCATTTGTGATTATTAGTAGTAGTAGAAGCAGTAGGTTTGACCTTGGGTCTGCCAAAAAGAAAGGATTTCAAGTGGCTGTGGAACTCCTTAGGGTTCTCGTGGATGAAAGCATGCCCTGTATTCTTTATCACTACCACCTCTACTCCATTCTTGTTCTCTTCCAAATGCCTGCATCCAATTTAATTAATCAATTCAATTTGCAGATTTTGTGACATGATATATATTTGTGTATATTTTTATATATCTTAGCATATTTACAATGCATCATATATTATATTATATTATATTATATTATAATTTAATATTATTATATATTATTTTATAAAATAGGAATATGTACCGCTTGTCAACGGTTGACAGCTGATCTCAACCCAAATGAAATTGGGATATAACCAAACTCACCTCTGCAATCTGTAGGCAAGTTCAAGTGGGAATATCTTGTCTTTATCCCCCCAGATTATTAATGTTGGCTGAAATCAAAACCAGCATTAACAATCTATCATTGCCTGTCATTAATTTGGCTAATTTATTTTATTTAATTTGATAATTATATGATTACCATTTATTTACCTGTGAGATTTTTGGAAGGTCTGAAAGTCTTCTGTCCTTGGCGATTGCCCGGAGCAATTCCTTCTTCTCCTCCACATATTCGCTGCACAATTCCTGCAATTTACAAAATAAAAAATAAAATAAAATAAATTAATATTTAATTTAATATTAAAAATATTTTTATATTTATATAATTTTATTTTTTTTTATAAAAATATCGAGTATTAGAGGACAAGAAAATATTTTTGTAATTTTTTTTTTTTTGTAAGCTTGTATTAAATTTTCATATAATAATTTATATTTAAAAATAAAATAAAATAAAAAAAAACTTACATCTATGAAATCTTCAAGGAGGCAGGAGAAGATTCCCTTGGGGGGCTTAACGAAGGTATAGCCAAGAAGCTCCCTCATCTTCGCCGCCGTCTGCGGCAGCAGGATGGCGGCGGCGTCCTCCACGTCAGCCACCGGAAACAGCCCCTCCTTCAGATCTTTCTCCTCAAGGCAGACGCCGGCGCAGCAGATCACCACGCGCTCCACGCGTTCCCCAAACTGCGCCGCCATGCTGTACGCCACGAATCCGCCGTAGCTCAGCCCCACCACCGACAGCCTCCCGGCGGCGCCGTTCGCCTCGAGGGCCCGGTTCACGGACCGGGCCTGGAACGACTCGGTCCGGTCCGGGTGAACCGACCGGGACTCGCCGAAGAAGACCAGGTCCGGGACGTACACGTTGGCGTGGGGCGCCAGACACCGCACCGTGTCGCTGTACTGCCACAGCGCGTTCGCCCCAAACCCGTGGATCAACACCACGTCGGGCCGGGTCGGGTCCCGGACCTTGGGGACCCAGCAGTGCATCACGGTCCCGTCCCCCAGGTCCGTCGACACCGACCGGAGACCTGAACTCCCGAAACTGGACCGGAGGCACCGCGTCCGGGATGCTGTCAGGCTCAGACACCTGGATTTCGACATTGTCTGAAATTACGACAATGCCCCTCTCCCTCTTTGGAGGGTTGAGGAAGAAAAAAGTAGATGTTGAATTTAAAGGAGAGGAAGACAGGAGAACAATGGATTTGGGTCAGTAATAAGTAGACCATATATATATATATATCTCGACGAAATAGGGGCGATTATTTGTAAATAAAATATTTATATAAATTATAAATATAAAATTACATATATAATTTTTTTAAAGATATTATAGAAATTAAAAGAAATCTATTGGAATGAGATTGAAAGAGTATTGTTTTTTAAAATTTACAACATTCTTATGGTAGTAAAGAATAGCAATAATTTTTTTAAGGGATAGTACTATTACATTAAATATTTCATTTTTTTTAATTCAAAAACTTTCAAAATTTAAATTAAATGAGCCTTATTTAGTTTATTTATTTACTACGGATAAATCACAAATAGATCTTAAATTATGAAAAATTTCCTCTAGACTAGGGACCATCCCGGAAATTAAAATAATAAAAAGGTAAGTACATTATTGACAGAAATAATAAATAACTATCCTGTCTTCATTTTATATTTATATAATTTATTTTAATATATATATTATATATATGGTTACGTTCCCACGTGTTTTGCAAAAATTTAAATTTATTTATTAATAATATTTTTAAAAAAGAAATATTGTATTAAATATTTATTTTTTTAATTAGAAAATATTATATTAAATATATATGATGTATTCTTTTTGTAAAAAAAAACACTTTTTTAAAAAAATTAAGTAAAAATAAAAACTTATTTTTTATAGTAAAAAAAATAAAAAATGTGATATTTTTCTACTTAAAGAGAAATAGAAATAAATTTAAATGATAATAAAAAAAGATAAGAATAAAAATATGATTGGATGATAGATGGAGTAATATATAATATGGATTCATTATTTTATAGTACAACTAAATTAAATTAAATTTTAATATACTATATAATAATTAAATAAAATGTTTAATTTAATTTTTAGGAGAAAAAATATTTAAAATAGTAAAACCAATATCAAAGTTTTATTTCTATTGTTTTGGTTTGTTTTGTTAAAAAATATTTACGTTTTATTATATTAAAACATAACAACTAATACTAAAATATTTCTTAATTTTTATATAAATTAACATATCATTACAATTATAATTAATTTATTAATAAAATATAAAAAATAAAAATATTAAAATCATCTTACATACTTCATTTAATACTAAATTATCATTTCATTTTTACATAAATTAAAAACATATAATTACAAATATAATTAATTGCAACAAATAATGTGAGTTATAATATCACCCCATATATAAAAATACTATGTTGACTTAGCTGGATCAATAGTCTCATAATTAATTTATACATAGAATATAAAAAAATAAAAATATTAAAATCATCTTACATATTTCACCAATTATAATTCATACAATCTACAGTCTTATGTTGATCTTACTTTCATTAGTATCTTATAATACATAATACAAATAGAAAACAGCCGTACAAAAAAATTATACAAATATAAAAATATATTTAATATTAATACAATAACGCAAAAAAATAAATATGTCCCTTGATACGAACGAAAAGAGTACAATTTTCAATAAACGTGTATATTCTTTATATTTTAGGTATAATTTCACACTCTTCATTATCATTTCACACTTTCATTATCATTTCACATCTTAAATCATTTTTTATACCTCATATAAATATAAAAAAAAAAAAAAAAAAATCAAATCAAAACACTAAGTGCTTGTTTCTTTAGCTCAGAGTTGGGAGAGAACCCTAAACCCTAAACCCCAAACCTGGCTGTTTGTATTTTGGCGGACAAAGTCTAAAAAGGTTTTGTTTCTTTTATTTTTTTTCTTTTTATAATAAAATTTTTAAATTATAAATAAAAAAATTATAATAATTATAATTGAATAAAATATATAAAATATATATGTTATTTTTGTAAAGAATAAAATTTTTTATAATACAAATAAATAAAAATTTATAGAAATATATATATATTTTATACAAATTAATACACTTCTATATTATTATGGATCTGTTGTATACAGTTTGGCCGACCCAAACTGCAGTAAGTTTGACTTTATTATTTTTTTAAAAAAATTAAAATATATATGTTTCTTTTGGTTGAATTTGAGAAATTTTAGTTTAAAATTGATATTAAAATAATGTTTAGTGGAATGTTTTATGAGATGAAAAAATATATCTTTTCGGGAAAAATATAATCCAAATAGCAAAATTTGAAAAAATTGAGATAAAAAACATATATAAAGAAAAAAATATATATACAATATATATGTCATTTTGTAGAGAATAAAATTTTATATAATACAAATTAATAAAAAACTTAAATAAATATGTTGAGTATAATATAAATTCATAATCAAATCATACAATATAAATTTTATCAATTTAATTTAATACACATTTATATTATTTTATTCATTATTTATCAAATCAATACACATCAAAACTCCTAAAACCCCAATTAAACTCAAATACAAAAGAAACAACAAAATTCAAACTCATACCAAAATTTAAATAAAAATTAAACCCAAACCCAAATTTCCTCGCACCTTCCTGAAAACACCGAAAACACACCATAAAAAAAAGACAAATCCTATATATACCTCTACTTTGTAAAGGTAAACAAACAACGTGAACTAGTATACTGTTTAAAGATAAACATTATCTATCAATCACCACCATGGCCAATCACTTATCAATACTATTAGAATTTTAAAAACATATCATCCTACTCAATATTTTTCCCCACCAATATATTATACAATCAAAATAATTGTCAGATTTTACACTCAATTTGCATTTCCATCTATTAAATTTTTATGTGATTATTTTAGACTGCATGATATAAACTCTATACATAGTTTAAGAAAAGAACAAGAAGATGAAAACGTATAATCATACAAAGTTACAATGTGCACTAGTCTTCCCTCATAAGAAAAGAAAAAGATCAAAATCAGAATCAGAATTAAAATCTCTATTATATAAAATGTTTCAAAACATTACAACTATTTTCACATTTTGTTCTGTTTTTCATAGGATCAAATTAAACGTAATTGCTCATATACGTCTATTACCATCGTTTAGATGCTTTCAGATTTATTCAAGTAACAATCCACCTTTACTGCTAATGGAAAATTCGAAACAAACCTTCACAGATAAATGTGGACTACACACCAGCATAATCATCGTATTTGGTTCGACTGATTTGAATCTCTGCCAAACCAAACACAACAGACTCTGTTTTACTCCATATATACATTCATATAATAGAAATCCGCATATTCCATCAATCATATATTGGAATAAATGAAAATCCAGATTAATTGAAAAAACAAATGTACCAGAGCCAGCGAACCTAGAGAAGAAACTTCACTAGGCTATCTTAAAGCTCTGGCAAAAAATTTCGATGTATGCCTCCAGAACAAGGCCAACAAGTACACGCAAATCACTTGAAGCCGAAAGAAGAGGCAATCGGAAATCTCAATCTCGAAAAAAGCACGAAAAAATTGTGAGGAACTAATTAGTAATCCTAGCGAAATCAATCCATCCGCCGGGAGAAAATAGATCTGCTGCTAATCTACAAAAGCATCTAAGAAAATGGCAATGTTTAGTAGAACTCTGGAAGTTCAACGAAGACGGCGACTGAAGGATTTGAGTGCAGCGCCCCCTTTTATAGCAGTGTCGCCAATGCCATCTCCTAGGGTTCACGCCGTTCGAATTTATGGAACAATAAAAAAAAAATTAAAAAAATTAAAAAAAAAAAAAAGGAAAAATATTATACTTTAACTGCACATTTTATCTAAATAATAATATTATCTGATTTTTTTATGGAAATAATATATTTTAATATTCCCTTTTATGTCCGTTTGACCGAGTATGGATTTAAAAATAAAAATTATTTTTTAGAATAAAAAAATAGTAGTGGCATTCAAATATTAAATAAAAATAAATTTAGATGAAATAAAAAATAAAAATAAATTTAATGACAAATAAAGTATTTAAAATAATAATAAAATATTATTACGTACACTATATATCACATCAAATATATTTAGCAGTTAATAACATCATATGCAGGTGTCCGCAGGTAGGATAACCTATTTATTTTAAATTTGTATAATTTAGTCACTTATCTTAATCAATTCGACTACTGAGTAGTCGTGTATTTAGTTCGATCAGATTTCACTTAAGCACTAAACATAATTAATTAATTTATCATATTTAGTATAAATTTCGTAAAATTCACTGTGAATTGATCGTTAGCTCGAAAATTATAAAATTAATACCAAATCAAAGTTAATATTTCAAAATTTTATTTAAAATACCAAAATTTTGATTAATCATTTAAGCATATTCATAATACCATCTTAACTCATAGTCCATTCAATAAAATAAAATAAACAAGACAATTTTGCAAAAATTACAGTATATATTTCATAATCTTTTAGTCTTTAATTAAAGCTAACGAGTATATACACATTTAAAATGAAATAAAAATATGAAAACAACACCGAAAAATAAACAAATAATCCTTAAATATTTATAATATTCTTTTACCAAAAACTAAGGAGTGTAATTTTAAAAAATTATATAAAACTTATTTTTCCTTCAACTAACTCATATGATATGTCAAATCGAAAATAAAATCACAATGAATCAAAATCTATTTTAACAATAGTAAGTACACGGCTTAGATAAACGAAATGCATTTAAATAATGTACAAAAATTACAAATTCAAGTTTTAAAAGCGAAAAATACATGAAAATTTAATATAAAATTACTTCAAACTTGAATAGGAGAGAAGAAAAAACTCCTAGAGTTTGTTAGGGGTGTGTTTGTTTGGGGCTTTGGATTTTGAATTAGTATTTGAATAGTAAATATTTTGAATTTGAATAGCTGTATGATGTGATATAAATAGTTGTTGATGTAATATTTTGAATGAAAAATTAATTTTTATTATAATATAAAAAATGAAAAATAAGAGTTTGATTTGATGTTTTTGGAAAAATTTTTTTGGATAAATAGTAAAATTTGGATGAAATCCTACAAACCAACACACCCTAGGAATATGTAAACAAAATGAAAGTGAAATTTAGGTCCGAAAATAAATATTTATATTGAAAAATTGAATTAAAATTATTATATCAATTTTTATTTTTTTTTAAATGCACTTGATAAAATAACATTCCTTTGGTTATTGTTTTGACTATAATATTTTGATTTAACCTGTGATTGATTCATCCTTTGTAGTATTAGAACTGACAAAAATGTAGCTGAAAAGTGTAAATTAATTTTTAACAATTTTTTTAAAAAAGAAAATCAATAATAAAACTAGAAAGCACGAGTAAACAGCTATCCGTTGTGTCGGAAAACAATACTCAATTGATTAATCCCTATTCTCCCAAGAAGACAGTGTTCTTGTAGTATGTATATATACAAGAAAAATACGTATACGGTTCATCATTACAACATTAATTTATTACAACTGCTGCTGCTGTATCTCCTTAGTTAATCCAACATGCACATTTTGATGACCTACCCTAACCTCGCCGGCGATAATTAATAATTACACAACAAGAAAAAGGATACAGCCGAACCGCCTGAGCTGATCGGAAAACCCGCCGGCGCCACCGGTTTGCGGATTCTGTCAATCCGGTCCGAGTAAAACCACTGTCAGATCCTTACCCGGTCTGAGAAAGCTGGCTCCAGTTAAATATCTGGTGCGACTGCGGCGGCGGCAGGTATGAGGAGCTCGTCGCTCGACCGCTGTCGTCACCGCCGCTGCCTGGCGGCGGCCACTGATTCGGGTACGCCGAATTTGACGGAGACCAGACCGGGACGATGCTGCCATCCCGTTCCCGTCTACTGCCATTGGACGACTCCGTCGACGACTCTTCCGAGTTCCTCCGACGCCGAGGAAATTCCGTCCTATCAGTCTGCAATGTCGCGTGTCCGAACGCCCGGGCACGTCCCGCCGTCTCCTCTGTTCCGACATGTACGTTCGACGGCACCTCGCCTCGGCTATCGTTGCCCCGATCGCGGAGATCGGCGGACGTTTCCTCCGATTCCCCTCGGACAAACGACGATGTCATGCTAGGCACCATTTGATCCTCGTATCTTCGAACAACAACGTTGTTGTTGTTGTTGATATTGTTGTTGTTGTTTCTAACCGTGGGTTCTTCATCAGTTTCCATTTGTGTGTCCGAAGGGAAGGCAATCGGGTTTGACTCCAATGAGTCTCCGAGGCCCTCTTCCGTACCGTTGGCGATTGCCGCCCTCGATGCCGCCTCGATCTGCCACATTTCGGAAAGTGCCTCCTCTAATCGAGCTTCTGCCGCCGCAATTTCGACTATTGGGAGCGGGTAATTCGAACCGAGTTCGATCCCGGCAGCTTGGAGCACGGAGCTGGGTGCGTTCCACGGATGATGGATCCATTCCGTCGGGAGACGGGAAAGCTCGGGAAGCCATCGTCGAACGTACTCTCCATACGGATCGAACTTGTAACCTTCAAACTACAAAAGAATATAAGGGTTTGTCACAAAATATCATGTCAAATACTCCATTTGTCTTTTTTTTTTTTTTATCATTTTTGTATGTCCCATTTCCAGGTATCAATTTCCCATTTTAAAAAAAGTAATCATGCACTAATACTTACTCTTGACTTTTATTTAAATTACAAAAATACCATTACTCGCCTAAATTGCACAAAATCCACAAGTTAGTTTCACGAAATTGCACCAAATCTTCCATACCTCTAAAATTTATTCGCAATTTGGGGGTATTTAGGTCAAATACCGTTAAATAAGAACCATATCAAAGGTTAGACGTTGAGTTTATGAAACCGGAGTTTGGTCGCAGTTTTAAAAGTATAGGGGATTTAACGCAATTTTATGAAACGCAAATAGGTTTTTTTGCAATTTAGCCTACTTTATAAATAAACTAAAATGACAAAAATATCAAAAATTGTACCTGTGGATTGTCGATGCGATCGAATTCCCGACCATCCGGCAGTGTCCCGGAAATATACTGCCAGCCGAGGGCGTCGCTCTCGAGATCGGCGTCGAGCAACGTATCCCAAAAATACTTCATTCCCCATCGCCATGGGAGCTGCAGAACCTTAACGAAAAAACTCGCAACGACCACCCGTATCCGGTCGTGCAGCCACCCGGTAGCCCAAAGCTCCCGCATTCCGGCGTCGACGAGAGGATATCCGGTGCGGCCTTGCCTCCAAGCTTTGAAATACCCCTCGTCGATGACCCAAGGGAAGTACCTAAGGTGGCCGAGCAACGGCCTCTCGTGGCTATACGGATGGTTGAAACTCATGTATCGGGAATACTCCCGAAGACCGATGCTTTTTAGGAACAAATTGACACTCTCGTCGCCCGCTCGATTTCCCTCGTTCGCCCACAAAACTTGCTTAATCCGAACAAGATGGAAGACCTTGCGCACGCTGACTTCCCCAAAATGTAGATGCGGCGAGAGCAACGACGTCGTCGCGCTGTCAGCCTTTCGACGGTTCTTCGAGTATTCGATCAACGGCCCGTTGAGAAAAGTCGTGAGAGCCTTGTTGGCGTTGCTCCACCCCGGAGACCATGCTCGAGCGAGAAGCGCGTTGCTTCCCTTCTCGGACTCATCTTCGAATACCAAAACATCCGTTGGGCATCTCGACACGTCGCCTGGATAACACCGGGAAAATCAATGCTAAGTTTAAAAAAAATAAATTAGCAACATTAGATGGATTTTGTTTCGTTATTTTGAGTCGCTACCGGGGAATATTCGTTTAGGCGGGAGAAGAGGAGCTTCTGGATCGTACGGCATTGTTAGACACCGGTTCCAAAATCCGGCGAATGTCGTGAACGGTCGACCTTCCTCGTCGTGTACTTCCCACGGCTCGTAGAACAAGTCCGCATTGTAGGAAAGAACAGTCACTCCCTCCTGTGATAAAACCTGCTTCGCTCGATGATCCCGAACCAATGATATAGGATCTAAAGAAGAAAAAAAATCAATGAGTTCAAAATAAGTTTCAATTTTTCTCTAAATATATCAAATTTAACATTTTCATTTCAGACAATTTTAGAAAAATATATTCAAAAAATACACTATATATACATAAAAGAAAAAATAAACAAAGTATTATTTTCTATAATACTTTCTTAATACCTAGCAACAAAAATACCTAAAATAATTAAAACTAAGCAAATACATTGGATTTGTTTGTCATTTTTTTCCTTTCACAAAAGTCATATTTAACATAATACCTTATTTTTATATTTAGACACGATTTTATGTGCCTTACATAAAAAAAAATTCAAATATATTTTATATCATATTAAAATATATGTTTAAAGACAATTTGCTTTGGTCTTTTGAGCTTTTTCAATCTAACAAAAACTTTAGACATATTTTTCAATTAATATTATCGATTCAATCTCTTTTATACTTAATGTAAAAAACAATTACACCTAAAAACATAAAGTAAACATACCTATTTTTTCTCATAAATCACATTTAATTGTTGTTTAAACTAAAAATCAAAACCAAAACAATAAAAAAGAAAGGTAGTTTAAAAATAAAAAACTTTTTTTTTGCCGATTTTTTTGTTCAAATTTTATTATTTGAATTTTGCATTTTCTAATCGAAATATTTTTATTTTTTTTCTCTCATAAAAACTTTCCATAAATATTAATATTTTAATAGCAAATTCAAATCAATTTTTCACAATCTCATTAAAAAAAACACACCATGTGATTGTGCCTATTTTAATGGGTAAAGGGTGAGATGACATATTATTTGCACAAAAATTCTCTATTATTTAAAAATTACGTCACATTTTTTTATAGTTTAAAAAATCTTGCAGTCTAGCCTTATCTTATTTGCAAGAATAATTCAAAAACTACATGGTTGAGAAATCATAGTTAACTCATAACAAAAAGTGGTTAAATGCCAACTTTTTACAATTATAAGAGAATTCTGACCAACTTTTAAGGGTGTGTTTGTTTGACGGATTGGATTTAATATACACAATTTATTTTATTTTTTTTCCCCAAAAACATCAAATCCAACAACTATTTTTCATTTTTTATATTATACTAAAAATCAATTTTACATTCAAAACATCACATCAATACTTATTTATATCACATCATACAACTATTTAAATTCAAAATTTTGACTATTCAAATCCCAACTCAAAATCCAAACCCTCAAACAAACACACCCTTAGAAAATTGAGGTTGAATTTACTAGTCGATTCTTCTTTCCCTAAAAAACAATATGGCATCAAACAATTACTTGTTCTTTAAAATTATATTACAAATTTATTTTATATTCAAAACATAGAATCAAAATATATTTATATTACATCAACAACTATTCAAATTCAAATATTTCCTATTAAACAATCCAAACATAAAATCCAAAACCCACAAACAAACACACCCTTGAGTGTTATAAGCAATTTTCATAAATTACAAGTGAGTGGATTCTATGTTTGTTTAGAAACCGATTCAACAACATCACTGAGATATAACTTAGAGCTCAAAGATGGTTATTAACGCCGACCGTACAAACATACAGCAAGACAATCGAACCATAGTGTTCTACGTGTTCCCTCAACACCATTCAAGAATTCAAATCTATTTATAGAAAAAACAACTTTACTACAGCTGATGTCATCTCACCGCCATTCCATCAGATAATGTAAAAATAATGCGCAGCAATTCCTAAAAATATCTTCTCCATCATGTATATATATAGATGGTTGAAGTAGTGTTTTACTGACCGTACAAATGGTTGAAGTAGACGTGAGTAGCTCCGGTGGATTTCACGACGTCGACCAGAGAAGAAACGCTATCGGAAGACCTCTTCGTAACAAGAGCAGCGCCGAGGCTCCTCAACGAGATATCAAGGTGCGCCAAGCTCTGCTTCAACCACCACCGCGAAACCCTACCGGGATAATAGTGCCCTTCCTCCTCCGGCGCCCATACGAACACCGGCACCACCGCGCCGGCCCTAACTGCGGCCGCCAGCGCCGGATTGTCCTCCACTCTCAGATCTCTCCTAAACCACACTATACTGCACCCCCCGCCCGACATCTCCCCCCCAAAAAAATGTTCCAACCAATTTTACCCTAATAAATTGGGGATTTAGGGTTTGGTCTTCCCAAATTTGGGGGAAATTGGACTCCGAAAGTAGATCCGAATCCGATCATGCGAACGAACAGGAGATTGAAGGGCGACGATCGGAAGGAGAGGAATTAGGGATTGGCTGAGGGTCGGGGAGAGGGCGCTGCGGGAGAGTGATGAGAAATCGGCAGCCACAACTTTTGTGGGGTATTTTTTTTTTTTTTGTAATTTTTATTTTATTTAATTTAATTTTTTCTTATCTGTTGTGAATCCTATTGTCCTACTGTGCACCACAACAGTGACCTTTTTTTTTCCTTCTCTAGTGCCTTCTTCTTTAATCAGCCATTTCCACAAGGACAGAGAGAGAGACAGGGTGGACAGGAACAAAATTTCTTGCAGCTATGGATGACGTAATGGCGCAGGCACTACACAGACAAACAGAAGTATTGTTGGTGAATTGGATGGAAGGGAGGTTTGAATTTTGAATTTTTTTGCGTAGTGGAATTATTGCGTCGTTGAAAGTGATTTGGAAGCTTATCCTGTTTTAAAAAGGAGGGAAAGAAGGCAGCCATGGCTGTCTCTGTTCGAAGCTTTGTCTTGTCCTAATCCTCTATCAGATCGGAGATCAATGGGGTGTTTTTTTGGGGGTCGGATTTGGTTGAAGAAGTTCATTTTTATTAAATATAAAATATTATTTAAATTTTAAAGGAGAAAAATACATGAGAACAGGCGTTACATCAAGATTAGGAATTAATACCTAATACTCTCTTTGTCATTTTTTTTTAAAGGTTATATTGTAAAAAATTAACCTATCTTATGAAATTGCATCAAAATTTTTATACTTTCAAAACTGCATTAAGTTTTCTGTGTAGTTTTATAAATTCTTCTTCGATGTTTTTATTTAAATGTATTTGATTTATATATATACTTCATCAGTCTCATAATTAGGTATCCGTTTGTTTTTTTTAGGAATTTTAAAAATATTAGTATTATATTGGAATTTAGTAAGAATAAAATAGAAATTACTAAAATAATCTTATAAATATGTGTGATATAAATGTAATAACATTTGTGTAATATATTGTAAGTTGTAAGGGTATTTGTAACGTAGGTAGATAGTATAATTACTAAAAATTAAAATTGATATTTTGTTATGAGACGGACTAAAATGAAAAAATGGATAGTTTATTATAGATGAATGGAGTATTCAAATTGAAAATGAATTTCACAATCTCTATTTCTAAATTTTTAAAATTATAAATATATTCAATTTTTTATATTTAGTCTTAGTAAAAAAAACAATTTTTGAAACAAAAATAAACTACTATCTTTTTATTTAGAAATGAAATATGGAGTTTGATGAAAATTTGGAGATATAGGAAATTTAGTCGAATTTAATATCCGACAAATTAGGCCTAATAGACAAATGACACTGGACGAATCACGTGTGGCAAGTGACATGTAATTATCGAAGGTTTGGACCTATGATCTTACGGTCAAAAATCCACCATCACACCACTAGACTATCCCTTACGGACAAAAAAACTATTACTCTCTCCGTCTCAATACAATAGTTTTATTTACCATTTTTGTCCGTCCCAATAATCCTGTTATTTTTATAAATAACTATATCACTATAAAATTACATTTATTTTTTCATTTTTATTACATTATTGTTACTAATTTCTACACTAATTCGCTCGTAAGGGCAAAAAAAATTTTTATTCATATTTTTTATCAGCTATCAATATAATATTAATATTCTTTAAATCTCTTATCAAGACTATAATTTTAAGACGGAGGATTATTATTATTTTTTTTTTTGGGCAAAAAGTGGACTAACAATTATATTTTTATAGTTCTAACCTTTCAATCCCAATCTCAACCTTAACTGGTCTCTAATTGATCGATCATAATTTGTTATGTCTAGACTTGATATGGTTCGGATCGAGTTTCACCTTGGGCCGACTACTGTTCTTGACTTGGGCTTGCATTGGCCCGAATTCAATGAGCTTATTTCTTAATCCAAGTTGGAGAACAAATAAATAGCAATTAATTTTGTGGGAGAAAAAAATTATATTTTTTTTTTTAGATATACAGAGTTAGTACAATTTGGAAAAATTTTATTAAAGAAACAAACCCAGAGGTGTGTTTGTTTAGGAGTTTGGATTTTAAGATGATATTTGAATCGTAAAAATTTTGAAATTGAAATAGTTGTACGATATTATGTAAATAGGTGATGATTGATATTTTAAATGTAAAATTAATTTTTAATATAGTATAAAAAATAAAAAAAATAGGTATTTGATAGAACAGTAAGGGGCTGTTTGGTTCATAATTTTTTTTTTTTTTGTGGGATTGGAATTTCACAGCATGATTTATATGTGATAGGATTTATTATATTTAGGATTTGGAATCCTATCATATGTTTGGTTGGTAAAATTACGAGGTATTTATATTTCTCACTTCTTGTTTGTTTTTTATATGAGTAGAAGAATTTAGATTTTTTATATTCTAAATGACATAATTGTCCCCTTATGAATTTTATTTATTTTGATAAATTAAACATCTAATTTATAATAATATAAATTGAAAATGTATTAAAAAATTTATAGGGATTACAATAGGTTATCTGTCGTAAACTCGAAACCCGACTCGAACCCGACCTATTTATTTGAAGTTGAGTCCAATTATTTGAGTATTAGATCTTGATCCGGGTCATATTATGGGTATTCTAATCGGGTCCGAATCGGGTCTAGGGTATAAGCGGACCATACCCACACCCAGATTCGATTTATAATATTAATAATATATTGACTATACATATGAAAAAATAATTTTTAACAATATAATTATATTAATTTTTTAAGTTTAATTTATTTATTATTTTATTATAATATTTTTTTCATAAAATACATAAATAATATATATTGGGTCGGTACATGTGTAATTTTAAATTAAAATTTAAGAATCGTAAAAAGAATTGGATTTGTTAGATCCATCGAATTTTACCGGGTATAGTTTTGGCTGGATCTGGTATAATCAGATCCAATTTGGATCTAAAGTCTAACAATATATATTCGAGACGGATCTCAGTTCCGGCTGAATCCGACTTATTGTCATTCTGATAATTTTATAATAAATAACAATTTAAAACAATGAATTTATTAATTTATTTAAAAAATATTTTACCATAAAAATAATAGTATTAATTTAATTTAATATATAATTCAAATAAAAATTAATTTTAAAATTATTTAATTTAATTTTATATAAATATATTTATATTATATATATATTTTTTTTATATATAAGGATATACAAGTAAAATTTAAAATCCATGGAATAGGATTTAAAAGTAATAGGGGGTACTCCATTACTAATAAATCCCTCATTTGTAGGATTTTGCACCATATTTTTAAATTCCATTATTTTAAATTCCATTATTTTTTTTTTAACCAAATATGAATTTCATGGGATTTTAAAATCCAAATCCCATAAAATCCTATCAAATCCTTGAAGCAAACTGCCCTAAAACTCTTGGATAATCCTCCAAACAAACACTCATAGTGTGTTGTGCTCTATTTATTTTATGTTAATTTGTAAAGTAAATGCGGTTGAACTCTACCGTAGTATTTTAATTTAAATAGTACCTTTTGTCTTTTTTTTTTTTTTTTTTTTTTATTTTTATTTTTAAAAAATAACTTATTTAGATTTAACACAGAAATTTAAAAAATATATATATTTTATTAAAAATTAGAGAAAATAAGAAGGTAATTAAATATACTTTCGAAAATTTAGTTACTAATTAAAAACGATGAAAGAAAAAATGTAAAAAAGACTCTCAATTATAGTAACTAAGTGTTAAATTAATAGCAATAATTAAATATTGATAAATGTATGATAAAATGTTTCCTAAAAAAATATGGTCAAACTCAAAATCCAAACAATAGAAACCTGAAAAAAAAAAAAAAAAGAAAAAAAAGAAAAAAAAGACAAACCCTAAATTTAACAAAGAAAGAAAAATATAAGTAAATTTAATTCACTGGAGAAGTATTAAAGAAAAAATACTTAACATGAAATTGAAATTGTAATGACTACGAAGGGTGTGTTTGTTTCCGAGATTGGATTCATTCCATTTTTTCCTTAAAAAATATCAAATTAAATACTTATTTTTCTTTTTTATATTATACTAAAAATCAATTTATCATTAAAAATATCACATCATACAATTATTCAAATTCAAAATTTTTACTATATCCCAAAGTCAAAATTCAAATTCCCAAATAAACACACCCGAAGAGAGTGATATATATATAAAAAAAAAAAGGAAAATAATATTTCTCACTGAAAACTATACTAGTTAATTTGATCTCATAATTTCTTTTCTTTCGTTTTTTATTTATTAATTTTGGTGTCATTTAAATTAAATTAATCAATAAAGCTCCCGTCTACTAAAAATTTATAGGTGGTTGTTGATGTTTTTTTTTCTTATATATATAAAAATTTTATCACAATTTTTACTATTTAAATTTTTATTTTTTTTTAAAAAAATATAACATCAAATAATTATTATATTTTTTTATATTATATTATAAATTTATTTTACATTCAAAATATTACATAATTCAATTTTTTAATATTTAAAATCAAACTAAAAAACTAAAACCTACAAACAAAAACAGTTATCATTTTTAACTTTGAGTTAGATTTAAATTGATAAATTTTTTTTAATGAATATTTTAGTTTATAATGGATTAAAAATATTTCTAAAAATCAAATATTTTTTTCAAGAAAGAAAAAAAAAAAAATTAGACACCACTGTCAATATATATATATATATATATTTATATATATTCTATCCTCTTACAAATCAATACTATACACCAAAAAATTATACATTGAAGTTGTATTGATGATAGGAAGTGACAAAAGTAAGCAATTAGGTGCAGAATCTCCGCTTGCAGCAATTCTCCGTGCATTTCTATGGAAGCACCCGCGAAACGGTGTGGCTGCCGCCTTGCCAGTTTGTTTCTTCCCCCAGCACTTCCATTTTCCAGTAATCTCTAACTCTCCAATCTCCCGCAGCATCTGAATACGCCCTGCAAAATGCTAGGATTCGAAATTCAGTTCGAAACCCAAAGTTTCTCGTCCGGTGGATTATTTCTGGATGCCACTACAATTCCATCGTCGATTGTGAGTAAGGTTTCCGGCGACGTTCGTAATTACGGCTGCGAGTTGTCCTCAAGCAGAAACCGGGGCGATTTTATGTGCTTGAGCTTATCGATAAGAGGAAAAGGTGGAGTAATCAGCAATTCGTCTCAATGTGCGCGGAGTGAGAGTAAAGCGGTCGACGGCGGCGGTGGCGTGAAGTTGGGAAAAGCGGTGAAGTTGAGCGGTAAGGGTGCGGTGAACACCACAAAGCATTTGTGGTCTGGTGCTGTGGCTGCTATGGTTTCAAGGTCTGTCTCTGCGCTTTGCAGTTGCTTGTTTTAACATCATTTAATTTCCAAATATCTGAGGTAGTTAATTTATGGAACTGAGTAGCTCAATTATCTCACAAATTCATCGCAAGAGTGTCGTTAGATGATTGTTTACATGTTTTATTTCATAGTGGAGGAGTTGTTGTGGTGTATAAAGTTGGTGAGGACCTTTTACTGATTAATACTTTGGAGCAGAACTTGCGTTGCTCCTCTGGAGAGGCTGAAGTTGGAATATATAGTCCGTGGAGAGAAGAGGAATCTACATGAGCTTATCTACACCATAGCAACAACACAAGGATTGAGGGGATTTTGGAAAGGAAATTTTATCAATATACTGCGCACTGCTCCTTTCAAGGCAATCAATTTTTTTGCTTACGATACCTACAGAAAGCAACTTCTCAAATTGACTGGAAATGAAGAAGCCACACATTCTGAGAGATTCATTGCTGGTGCTGCGGCAGGGATGACAGCTTCTGTTCTCTGCTTGCCGCTGGATACTGTGAGTTACAATTCCTAACTTCTTTCAAGTCTTGCGAATATGCTTTTTTAGTTGAGGCATTACTTTAGCTTAGAGTCGAGAAGACTCCTTTGGTATGGAGCGTTTTGTGTTAAATAAGAGAAAGAAAAGTTGTTCTGAGAGAGAATAAGTTTCCATTGCAGTAAAGTACTTCAATATTCAGCCATTCCTATAGAGCAGTATTTGTAGTGCAAGAAAGTTGAAACAACTGAGAGACACTTCAAGAAATCTAGAACTTCATATTGAAGCCTGACAGTAACTTTACCTCTTCTAGCTGTGCACAATTTTTTGAGGAGGGAATGAATAAGAAAGGACAGGAAAGGGGAGTAATAGTTTTCGGATTGTAGTTTTTTAATTGACTGAAAGCAAAGAGGCAATGCAAGTTGTTTGGAATTGATTTCACTTTTTCACTAAGATAAGTGACTTTGGGTGTGTTTGTGAACAATTGTCACAAATTTCTGCTAGACTGTTTTAAGACATGCTTAGTGAAGAAGACAAAAAAGCTTCAAATATACGTGCTATCCTGAGAATGAAAAATTGGGTTAAAAACGACATGTCTAGTCTCCACGAAACGCACCTTACCCTTTATGAAATTTCTGTTAAATTGGAAGGAAGTGGAGAATGTCTAGGACAACAATGCGGAAGTGATTTAATCCTCTAGGAAACACATTGCAATGGTCAGAGAGTTATGTTGACTATAGCAAAGAAAATTGCTCTTCCATAATACTTGTTAGATGATTACTCACCAGTTCATCATACTAAACTCTTCCTACCAAATTACATATATATTTTTTATTACAAAGAAAATATCACTTCATGGAGATGCAAGTTTGCCTTTTTGTGCGTGTGGGTTAAAAATTTCCAATAATTTCTGTTTCAGATCAGGACTAGGCTAGTGGCACCTGGTGGAGAAGCAATGGGTGGCGTTATTGGAGCTTTTCGCCATGTTATCCAAAATGAAGGGTTCCTTTCACTATACCGGGGTTTACTGCCCTCCATTTTAAGTATGGCGCCTTCTGGTGCTGTTTTTTATGGCATATATGACATGTTAAAATCAGTTTACTTGCATTCACCTGAAGGACAAAGAAGAATTCAATATATGAAACAGCAGAATCAGGAATTAAATGCATTAGAGCAGCTGGAATTGGGACCAATAAGAACTTTATTGCATGGTGCCATTGCGGGTGCTTGTGCAGAAGCTGCTACATACCCATTTGAGGTGGTGAGGAGGCAGCTTCAACTGCAAGGCCGAGCAAATAAGTTAAATGCATTTGGAATTTGTGCCAGGATAGTTCGGCAAGGTGGTGTTCCTGCTCTGTATGCCGGTCTATTTCCTAGCTTATTACAGGTATGATTGTCATCTTATGTTTCTATCATCTTACTATCCAATATAGAAAAGGAAACTTGTCTAAAACTCAACTGATTAATTTCAGGTATGCTTCATTTGTTAAGTCTTTTTAACTCAGATATGGTGCACTTCCATAATAGCATTTGAGACCTTGACAAAGGATACTTTAGGATATTGATATGATGTTCTCTTGTTTGGTGTTTACTAGGAAGGATTGGTGAAAATGATGTTCTTTTGATTTTCATCGGAAGTTGGGATAAATAACATGATTTTGCTGATCACCGAAGATTTCACTTATATTTGGTTAGGATCTAGTTTTAATTAGAAAGAAGTTTGTGTCTCTATAATAAATTGTGTTTTCCTTTCATTTTACTCCAAACAATTTAAATGTTCTTGTGTGTTCAATGAGTTTGAAAACACCAAATAATGTAGATAATTACGAAGGCTGCAAGATTTACACATGCTATGCCGACTTGTTCTGCAATAACTGATGTCATTACATGTGTTTCTTATTGCAAAATGATATAATTACTTGAAGTGAAGAACAACTATCCTTTTTAAGAGCTAAATTCTGTAAAGCTCATATTTAGCATCGAGCTTATTTTCTACAGTTTAATAAGTTAGTTAATAACTATGATATATCTATAGTCCTAACTCCTAAGTCGGTGATGAAAAGATTAATGTCTCTTTACAACTATTGAAGGTATATATAAAAAATACATTTATGCATATTTGAAGATATTCATAGTAGATGTGAATGGGTAAAAACAATATTCCCTCAATCCCACATAAATTGTCTGTTTTTTCTATTTCGGTTTGTCCCACATCATTTGTCATTTTCTTTTATGGAAATATGATTTAACACTTTACTCCCATTTTAAATTTCATAATTTATAATTTTTTAAATTTTAATTAAACTATTTAGTTATCTTAATCTTAATCTATAATTATTTTTTATTATACAATAATTATTTTTATTAATACATTTCTTAATTACTTACTAATTATACTCTGCCTAAATTCTAGTATCTACGGTAGCGTGAACAATACATCCGGGACGGAGGCAGTAGAATTTTAGAAAGAACAGAAAAAAAGTAATGCATTATCCTTTCGACAGTGGTGTATAAGCATCCAATGTTTTGAGTGGAGATGGATTAAGACTTAATTTGGACAACAGTGCATTGTACAATTTCTTGTTAAATTCATTCACACAATTTCATGAAAATGTCAGAACAACAGTGTTTCCGTTATGTGTTAAAATTTTAACAATTTCTTATCCTGTCCTATAAATTGTTTGAATCTTGGGAGAAAGCACACAGAAACCCTGTACTCTAACCACACCTGTTTTAACCCTGTTTTTATTCTTCATTTACCCTGAAAATGTGAACTCTCATGTGAATTTTTAAATGCTGTGTGAATAAATATCTCAGTGTTTTTGTTTCTTGTTAATGTTTGGATCAAAGCTATCTCTAATTATGATTGTGGTACTCAGGTATTACCTTCTGCATCAATAAGCTTCTTTGTTTATGAGTTCATGAAGATTGTTCTTAGGGTGGAATGAATCACAAACCTACATAACAAGATACTCCCAGGAAATTGTAAGAATTTTAGTGTACTGATGGTGACAAACGAGGACATGCTGCTCACCACTATATATTCTCTTCCGGCAAGATGAAAGAATCATTGGAATCATTCTTGTTCCAATCGCAGTGCTTATGTTCAACAGGTATATTGCATTTGTTGATCCGGATTTTATTGACTTCGCAAGTTGATTTTTCTCAGATACGGCTAATTTCATTTGTTTTCTCATTCTATCCTGAACTATTTTGTACCTGATTAAACATATTTTCCTCCATCTGGTGCATTGCTGAAATTTTATTGTAAAGACAGCCTACTTTCTTGCATCAGATTATTGAGCATGGATCATACGGAATTGTTAAGTGGATACATAATAGTTTCGATTGTAGTGTTTGAGCTTGATATTTGTTGAGGGGTGAGAAATATGCGAAGCTTTTTGTTTAGAAGAAAACTTAAACCTTTTTCTAGCCTTGACTGCTCAAACTTGGGGAAAATTGCAAAAAATATCCCCTAGTATACCCTATTATCACTTTTGTCATGTATTTATTTTTCTGGTAAAATATATCTCACATGTTTGCAAAAATCGGTACTTCTATCATTTGGACGCGTGTGGTGTGCACCACACGCGGCCAAAGGACATAAATAACGACCTTTGTAAATATGTAAGATATATTTTGCGAAAGAGATAAATACATGACAAAAGTGATAATTGAGTATACATGTTGATATTTTTTGCAATTTTCTCCTCAAACTTGTAAATTATACATGTTGATATTTTTTGCAATTTTCTCCTCAAACTTGTAAATTACTTGTATCTTGAATGCTTGACAATAATATTTAAATATATCTGTTGCCCTACTAAAGCTTTATAAATCATCTGAAAATGCTTGAGATAAAGAGTTATGTGGGAGTATAGGAAGTGATCCAATACCTTCCTCACTAATTTGGATTTGAAATCTCGACCCAATAATAAGATTCATTTAACACAAGTTCTTCAAATCTGGCGATGAAAGATGGTACTTGTGCATTCTCATCCATAGTGAGCTGTTCGAACTTGGTACTAATTAACTGCAGTCTAGACAACTAAACTGCACATTTTGAATAGCCTGCAATATCATCCTAGGCCTCTTTGGATGTTTCACTGCTAGAAATATCTCAGAAATTTGTTGATCCACACAGTGACTTATAGTTACCCTTTGACGATTTCTTCCCCTTGTGATAACTTCATTTGGAAATAGGTTTCATCGAATTTTTGCTGTACCCTCCAGTTTCACCAAGATATGATCAACCAGCATAGACAATCTTTCTGGTGCCCTGTTCTCCGCAAGCTGTGACGTTAATCATTGATTTAGCAACAGGCTGGATGTGACAGTATCACTGAACATGTGTGTAACCTCATGACTCTGTTCATCAGTATGTTCTTCTCAAATTGTTGATTAGATGGACTAATGCTGATGAGTTTGTAGGCCACTGAAAACAGTACTTTAACTGATTAAACCAAGTGCCGTAGAGTAAGAATAAAAGAAAGCTAGCAACACCTATCACTCTCTGACTCTTTTTTTTTTGTGTGTGTGTGATCCCACACCTCTGCTACAACTATGTGTCTGTGTGATCGCCAAAATGAATCTGCGTATTCACCCCACACCTCTCAGCTACACAAAGATTCTAAACCTTCAGTAGATATTAGTAAAGTATTAACTCACTTTACATCTACCACAAAAAACACTATTTCCAGTAAAAACCATTCTGCTTCAATAATATTAAGTCAAACCTTAGTTGTCCACATTATGTGTCTTGATAGTGGCAGAGACATTGATAATTGTTTCTCGATGATTATCCATATGCCTCTTCATCAATGCCAACAGCAATCTCAACAGGAGATACTAAAGGTGTTGAGAATTAGAAGCAGTACTCTTTTCTTAAACTTTAACCTGTGCATTGACCTATTCTCTTTCATGGTAGAGTTATATATAATACGGTTTCTGAATATTTTTTATTTGCAGCATGTGTTTGTCAGTATATTCCTTCTGAATGTTCGAACTTTTTACTGTGATTGTAGAATGATTAGCAAAATGCAGGGCTATGTGTGACATTAACCACATACTAACAATTTGTATGCTTTGTAGAATCACCTCACGTGCAAATTGTAAATTGTGGGGCTGCTATGGCAAGAATGAGAGTCGATGCCAAATCGACTTCCTCTTCTAAATCAGATATTACAATTTGATTATTTTATTTCCTGGTCTCCCTGACGTTGTCAGGCCATTGAGAACAAATTAAATAAGGTAGTTGGATTTTTTATTTAGGCATTTAGCCGAAACCAGGACTGAAGGCTGATTAGATTGGAAAAAAGAACAGACATATATGGACAGCCTTCAAACGTTAAAACTTACTAGTCTATTTCTCTCTTTACATAGCAATAGCATTCATTATCACCACCAGCTACTAGATCACTTTACAAGCTTTTATGTAGTTTTAAATATATCAGGGATATATATATATATATATATAAACTTAACTTTCTCAAATCCTCTAGTGTAGGCCTCGATGCATCTAAGTCATGAGGGGTAGACCAAGTGATCATCAGACTTTCTAAACTTATGTTAATTCTGCCTCTGATGGGTGCAGAAATTTACAATTAGGACATGAGGGAGAAGATTTGCACATCATAACCAACATGTAACACTTCTTGCACACTGCTGTCACCATCTCGTGTTCTTCACCTTCGAATGTTAACCACGATGGCGAACGAGCAAGTCTCTTGTGATCTTCCCTAACAGTGTTGGAAGTCATAGAATCAGAAATCTCTTGTCTCCTGGAGCTGTGTGCTCTCCCCCAAGATTGACTCGATAGATTGAGTCCAAGCTCCAAGCTCATCGGAGCACCTGTACTAAATTCAGGTTGCTCTAGACCTGAACTCGAGTCGCCTTGTACCCTCTTGTTCGTTCTTGTGTTGTAGAAATATATCTGCCCTGACTGATCATACAAAAGGAAGATTCTTTTGCATCAGTAAAGTACAATTACAAAAACACAAGAGAATCTTAGCAAGTATTGAATTTCCGAACGGCGGCGGGAAAACCTTAATATCGAGGCACCGTTGCCACTCGGAGTTGAAAACAGGTTTCCTGCTTCCGAACTGACTGTCTTTAGGCTTCTGATCATCACAATTCTCTGTTGGATCATCCATTTTTCTCTTCTTTGTTAGGCTTTCCTCTGATAATACCTGTTTTGATGTTTGCAGGGAGATCATATCTGATAAGGGTTTGGATTCTTTCCCCTTCTCTTGTTGGCTACAATTTGTGAAAATTGTCTTTGCTTTAGGTTGGTATATATAGGGTCTGAGAAGAAGCTTTTGTTTTATGGACTGGAGTTATGTGGTGTTGTGAAACCCCACCCCCCCTACACTCGCCAGTGTGTGTATTTTTGTATGTATATGTGCATTTAATGAGCACATGTAGGGTCACAGGTTTAAATGTGAAACTAGGATGGCCCATATCTGCATGTCTGTGTGACACACACTTACCTTGAATTGAAGTTGTTAAATGAACCCAATTCTTGGTCACAACTTTCCTCTATGTGTGTGTCGAGGCTCAAGCTCGAGCTTGAGCTTGAACTTGAGCTTGAGGTTTGATGGGGGGGGGGGGGGGGGGGGTGAGGTGGGGTGGGGTGCTCAACAGAAATTTCCAGCAGGAAGTTTTTGTAGCGGTGAAGATTTAAGTGAGAGTATTAAATGGGAGAGGCAGTGCACAGTTGAAGAGAGGAGGTTAGTTGAATGAATTGCACTGCACTGCTGCTGCTGCTCTCTCTCTCTCTATTGATAGTTCTTCTCTTTAATGGAACATTCATATCTCCAAACAACACTACACTAACCAGCTTTAAAAGCACTTCTTCCTACACTCTCATGCTCATTAAATTTCACCCAACATTATAATAACACACACACACACACATATGAGCTGATCCCTGGATAAGTTTCTTGATTTTGCATACATGGTCAGGTGCCTAAAGCTTAGCCTTTGCATGTATTATGTGATCTTGTTTACTTTTAGGGCTTGGTTATTGTTAACTGGTTTTTTTATATGCTGTGCTTAATTTGATGTAAGGACATCTTGTTTAGGATCTTGTAATCATACTAATTTTTTTTATCATTGTTTACTTCCTATGATTATATAATATTTATATGTGGTCGTGTTTACTTTCACGGTTTGTTTGTCTATTGTTAGTACAATTATTACGATAGACAACACATAATTTGTGTTAACATAGTGAGTGATAATTGTCCATAAAGCGTATACTACTATTGATCTCATTACACAAAATATGTTCATACAGCATCCCTACGAGTATGAACCGACAGCACGTGATTTCAATTATTATTATTATTATTATTATTTTTTTCTTTTATATGTTGATTAGGGTAAATCAGTATGACATGAACAAACATATTGTAATTAATTGCTGTACCAGTTCTAGTTTATATGGGTTTTTTTTTTTTTTTTTTTTATGTACGGAAGTCTTGTGTCCTTATGAGGGCCTTGTATTGACTAAACTAATTTATGGGATTGTTGAATTTTTGTTTGCATCGTATGATTATGTAATAATTCATGTTGTTATCACGTGTTATTTTATATGATCGTGTTACTTTTAGACTGTTATGTTTACAATTAATTAATATGAATTTAACCATTTTGTCTGCTTTAGTACTGAAGTCTTGATCAAATAATACGATGATGTCCTTGTCTTCATAATTATGTTTTATTTCTATTACAGTTATTATGGTGGACTATATAATCTTTTATGTTGCTGATAATACAAGATTGTAACATATGATATTTTATAATACAATATATGTTGTATTATATTGAAATATAAGTTGTATGTTTTTATTATATATGTTAATTAGATTAAATCACTATACTTAATATATTATCGGGCGGAGTATTATGTAGACTACTGTGTGTTTGGTTGTTTTGTGTTTAAGTAATTATTTGATATAATATTTTACGAGATAATAGAAAAAGTTGATACAAGGTTTAGACATTCATGACTTAAAGATGTTTTGTGTTGTGTTGTGCTGTGTAGAAAATAATTGATTAAATGATTATAAGCAGGCTGATTAATAGTATATATTTTTGAGATAATATGAATTATGTATATGGTTACTATGTGTCAGTGTTATCACTTATATATATATATATATATATGTTATACGTTAAAATTAACTTATGCATGTGTTGTGTTGTATGAGATTAACATTATAGCCGCGGCCGGTGTTAATATACTTCTTTGTCATTCAAATTTATTTTTTATTTTTTTTGTTGTCATTTGTAAAATATTTTCATTTTCTTAGTAAAAAATTCATTTATTTTTTTTTTACCTTTTTACTATAAAAACAAAAAATTATTATTATTATTTATTTTTATTAAAGTTAAATATTCAAAAAAAAAAATTTATGACGTGGAAATTCGCAGTCGCTATCCGAAAGTGCACACTAGGTAAACTCCTGGTCGAAACCCAATAACTTGTAAACTAGATCTAACAGGCAAGACACACTAAGCGAATCATGTATGACAGGTGACCTATGCAGTTAGGTTGAACCGAAAATTTATTCGGATCAAAATTAATGAGTAGCAACTACTGTTTCTAAGTCATTAAAAAAATATGTATGTCAAGTGAATGGAGAAAGAAATAATAATATTAAAACTGTAGGTTTTTCGAAAAACAAAGGTGTTTGGAAAATTGTTTATTACATAGCTTTTAATTTATTAAATAATTTTCAGTTGTTAAAATATTTATTTTTTTAAGTATTAGATATCATAATAAGCTTAATATGTTAATATATATATACATATGAGACGGAGGACTTGCCTAATGTACTTTACAACATAAAAAATTAAAATACTCAATTTTCCATTATTTTTAAAACTGTGTAATAAATATATTCATTATTAAAGTAGTTGACGTTTAAAATGAACAATAACAAATTGAATGATGCACATTCATAAACTGAGCAGAAATTTCGTCAAAAATAATAATAATAATTATAAGCAGAAAAAGGGTTGGTCCAATGGAGGGACGACACGTATGGGGCAGTGAGGGTTTAATATGGTAACTCTAACTGCCTTGCATTAAGTGAGACATTGCCTTAAATGTTGAATTTCAAGGGAGTGACGCATTAAAACATCGCCTTCTTTCTCCTTCCCCTTTTTATTATTATTATTATTATTATTATTATTATTATTATTATTATTATTATTATTATTAATTAATTGATTAATTTCATCCATAGCTTTCTTTTATTTTCTTCTCTTTTTCTAAAATAAATGCTCTCAACCTTCCCTTCTTTCTTTCATTTATCACACCAATTCAACAATTATATCATATCATATTTTTTATATATATAAATATATAGGGTATAGTTAACGGTTGATACGATCAACTCAGTATTAACATATTCTATAAAGATGACTATCATATATATATTTTAGCATATTTATGATATAACATATATTATATTATAATTTAGTATATACTATCTTATAATATAGTATATGTTAAGATATTATGTATAAGTATATCTTGGTCACACATATAATATATGCTGACCCGGTACATACATCGTTTTTAAGTGATTATATATTGGCAATGCAATACAATAATATATGAGTATATTCTTTTGAGATTTCAAACTAAAATCAATATTATTTACTTTGTACGATTTTTAATCAAAATATATTAATTTTTTTTATAAAATATCTCATTAAAGTTGTTGGAAAGTGATGTATGAAACAAATCTCCTTCAAACACCAACAAAGGGTAACTTCTGAAGCGTGACTGATTCACAGTTAAAACGACTTAACAACAAATAACAAAGCAGAATACAAAACAACACATGAAACAAGGTGTTTGTTGACCTGGTTCAATTACCAACAAATCTACATTCATATGATTCCAATCCAGGAGATATTCTACTAACCAATGCTAATTACAGAGTATAAATAATCACGACCCTTTCAACTCAAACTCCTATCATGATTTACCTTGGAAAATACCTCCACAGGTTCTACTAATCAGAGCCGCTCAGAGCTTGATCATCCTCTCCGGTTGGAACTCCTTTAACTCCAATCACCGTCGACCTCTCCGGCGAATTTTTGTGTCAAAAACTCATTTAAACTAAGGAGAATCGATATGGATAGAGGGGTGAGAGCTTCACTCAATTTTTTTTTTTTTTTTCTAAAATCTCAAAATCACTCATCACCAATTTTCAACCCTATCTGGTTGAGTAAATCACTCACATTTTTAGAATAAAAGATTTCACATTAATTTTCCTTTGCACCGAAAGGGAATGAGTGAGTTTCCATGCATTGATATTTCCTCAAATATATCTTTTATCTTTTGGAAAGTCTGTACAGTTCCATTTGATGGATGTTGAATAAAATATCGGAGAAGAAAACGTGAACGATACGTAGGTTTTTATTTGATTACTAATAATAAAAGAACATTTAAAAATTACCATTGCAAAAATTGTTCGCTTCACTATCAACACAACAAAAATCTTTAAGAAGAAAGCGAGTTCTTGAATTCCTACAATCATTGGTTTTTTGTTTACTTTGACTAGGATTTAGGTTTTTTAATATACAATTATTCTAATTTTTAGAAAAATATGTTTATCTTCCCACCAAATATCATATTTAAATTATTATTCAAATCTAAATCTCAAATCAAGATACAAAATCAAACTCAACTAAATAAATTCTAGCATTCATTATTATTAATTATACATATACAATTATACATAAATATAATACAACAATCTATATTACCTTTCTATACTCACTCTCCTTTTAATTTGGTTGTCATTGGAAAATATTTTCATTTTTTTTTTAAGTAAAAAATTATTATATTTTTGTATTTTTTTTTACTATAAAAAGAAAAAGTAACAATTATTACTCATTTTTATTAAAACTCGTACCCGATCAAATGAGCACACATTTGCATAACGGAGGGAGTATTATTTTTAATTAAAAATATAAAAAAAACAATAAAAATATAAAAATTACATTTTCTATTTGCATAACAGAAAAACAATAAAAATATATAAGACCGAGAATTTCGCACTACATGGATATATATATATATATATATATACATACATTAATTTTATCCACGTGAATAAAAAAATGTAAGTTATTGTTCGATTTTTATAAAAAAAAATAAAAATAAAAATTCGAAATTTCAACTTGTGATAATTGCATGAACGATCAACGTCTCTTTTCAATTCAATGATCAAAAATATTTTTAAAAATGTTAAATACAACTCATTAGCGTACATGTATTGACAATATAATTACAACACGTGTGAGATCTTATTATTGAAACAGCTTCGATTAATTAAACAACTTGGATAGCATGCTGAAATTTCATTATTCAGCACTGCTAAACTAAATCTTAGTTATTGATAAATTAAATTAATTAAATTATTATTTTTAATTATAATAAATGAATGGTTAAGATTAATTCAGCATAAGTTGAATTAATTTAATACATCAACATAGGATCCAAACTCTTTATTAAAATATTGATTGAGGATTTATTAGCACATTATGGGTGTGTTTGTTCCGGGGTTTGGATTTTGAGTTGGGATTTGAATAGTAGAAATTTTGAATTTGAATAGTTGTATGATGTGATATAAATAGGTGTTGATTTGATATTTTGAATGTAAAATTGATTTTTAGTACTCCCTCCATCCAAGCTAAAAGTTGTTGATTTGATATTTTGAATGTAAAATTGATTTTTAGTACTCTCTCCATCCAAGCTAAAAGTATACAATTACTTTTGGCGCGGAGATTAAGGAATAATAGTATTTTAATTATAATTGGCAGGTAAAAGTAGTAAAATGACATTTTTGCCCTTACTTTTTTTGGTATAAAAGTAATGATGTGATGTAACGTAGGGGTATTTGTGGAAAATTGAGATATTTTTAAGGAAATTGTTACTTTGTAATTGGGCGTCCTAAAATAGTAATGTGTATACTTTCTGACTGGACGGAGGGGGTATAATATAAAAAATAAAAAATAGGTGTTTGATTTGATATTTTTGAGGAAAAAAAATTGGATAAATAGTGAAAAAGAAAATTCAATCCCTCAAACAAACACACCCTATATTGATCGCCCCAATTTGCACATAAAAATTGAAATCACATGAAAATATATGCTCTATAAATGATCAGTATGTGTATGTATATTATAAATATCTAATGTATTGTAGAATGCGGGCACGGTTTGGATATTTGCAAATATGCAGGTATTTGATATCCGAATCGAACCGAACAAATACCCGAAATCGTGAACTGTATTCGAACCCAAAATTTCGGTTCACCGAATTTTCGGTTAATTGAAAATATTTGCAATTAATTTGAACCGAACCGAAATTAAAAAATAATATATTAAAAAATAATTAAAATTCTAATTAAATCAAAATATTTGTAAATATTTCAAATATCCGAACCGAATCCGAACCGAAACCGAATCGAATATAATTATTAATATAAATTTTAAAATATAATAATATAAATATATTCGATTCGGTACCGAAAAAAATATTCAAAACCAAAACCGAACCAAACCGAGCAAATATCAAATATGCAGTATTTGTATTCGAAACGAATTTGCTCGGTTAACCGAAAATTCGGTTCGATTCAGTTCGGTTCAACGGTTCGGCTGTTCGGTTCGATTTTTTTGCCCACCCCTAAGAATATATTATATTTAAAAATGTTTAACCTTTAAGATCATTTAAATGTTTATTTTTTATTTTAAATAAATCAATACTCAAGATTTGATTAAGCAGTAATACACTTTTCAATTATATCACTAAATATTTTTTATTTTTTATTTTTATGTTGTTTCCATTAGTAGGGGTGCTATATATGATCTTAGGTGAAATAATTAATGGAAAAATTTGCAAGGCAAAGTCATGTCTGTATCTATTGTAATATATATATGTATATATATTTACCCTATCTTAAGTGAAACAGTGCATTAACCATGGTTGATATAAATGGATGGAATTACCATTTTATGTCCATTCAATGCTTGATGATGTGTTTGTCTGAGTGATTTGATTTTGAGTTTTGATTTAAATAGTAAAATTTTGAATTTAGATGTGATATTTTGAATGTAAAATTAATTTTTAATATAATAAATATAAAATAATAAGTATTTAAAATTTGATATCTTTTGGGAAAGAAAATATAAATTTTGAACAAATACTCATCAAGATTGTTGATAATACATGTAAAACATGCATATAATATATATATATATATATTAATACAAAATATATTGTGTTAAATAAGAATATGGATTGTTGATTTATAATTGCAGTTGTGTTATATGAATATATTTATTACGGAGAAATCAATAGGATTATATATTAAAATTAAGATAGCTAAATAGTTTAATTAAAATTTAAAAAAAAATTATTATTTTAAATTTTCAAATGTGATCAAAGTGTATAATTATATTTAAAAAAAAATTGACAAATTATGTAGGACGGACAAAAATAAAAAGAGATAGACAAATTAAATGAGACGGGAGTATTAACTAACAATACATATTAATAGTATGTTTGAATTAATTCTAGCAATGTACTGAAAAGTAGAAGTAATTGTTCATATGTTGGTTAGTTATAATCCATGCCCTAACCATCTCATGTTTGTTAATATCTTCTAATTACTATAGGGTGTGTTTGTTCGTGGGTTTGGGATTTTGGATTTGAATTTTTAATAGTAAAATGTTGAATTTGAATAATTGTTTGACGTGATATAAATAGATATTAATGTCATGTTATGTTTTTTGAACGTAAAATAAATATGTATTATAATATAAAAAATAAAAAGAAAATAAAAAATTATAACAAATTAAAAATTACACTGAGGCTAAAAACATATTGGGCTTTTCGACAAAATAAATCCGGCCTATAATTTTGGGCGGCCCATTTAGGGCGAATATCGGTTGTTTTATATCACTGTGACTGTACGGCGGAAGGGCAAAATTGTCTAATCGGAAAAGTCTGAAACCCTAGAGAGAGAAAGAGAATTCTGAGAGCGAGGTGCTCTCACACGCATCGGGAAGAACTCAACGATGTCGCACTTTGGAAGATCGGGGCCGCCGGACATCAGAGACACTTACTCTCTCCTCGTCCTCAACATTACTTTCCGTAGAATCCGCGTCTTTCTTTATATTCCTTGAAATTTTCGAAACTTTTTTTGGTTTGTTTTTCAATCTTGTGTGTTATTTTTCATTTCTCAGGTACAACTGCGGACGATTTGTTCCCCCTCTTTGATAAGTATGGGAAAGTGGTTGATGTGTTTATTCCGAAGGACCGAAGGTAGAAACGATGTGGTTCAGCGATTTCGCGAGTGATTTGTTGCGTGTGTGTTGTGTGAGCGAGCATGTAATGAGTGTAGGCGTATGCGAATTAGTTTATTGGGCGTTTTTGCGAGATTTATCTAAGTAGGTTATTTCGTCTCAGCGGATTTAAGATTGAAATCAGCATTTCCATTTTCTATAGTAAATTTTAATTACAGTAGCAAGTTTTGCTTTGATGCTTGTGATATGGAAGAATTTTCTTGTGCTGTTTCTTGGGTAATCTAAGAATGTTTGAAGAATAGTTAATGTGTTCCTATTAATCTGATCTACTTCATAGTGAATATTAGAGACATTATATATATATATAAGTGAATTCATTGTTACCTGTGTATGAGAATGATTCATTTTCTTGTTACGTAGGACCGGAGATTCGAGGGGGTTTGCATTTGTTCGATACAAGTATCAAGATGAGGCTCAAAAGGCTGTAGAAAAGCTAGATGGTGAGTCTGAAAACATTCTTGTGTGGTTCAGTCAATTAAGTAAAGTAAAAGTAGTTGTGGTGATTTGTTGTGTTCTTGAATGCAGGAAGAGTTGTTGACGGCCGGGAAATAATGGTCCAATTCGCTAAATATGGCCCCAATGCTGAACGAATGTGAGTCATTTACTACTCCCGACATTATGGATTTGCCAAGTTCATCTCGAATCTTTTGCATACTCTTATTTAAATGATATGATGATATTAAATAGTTTACCAGTTAATCTGTTTTTTGTCCTAATGGAAAATCTTGATTTCACTAACTGATTCGGGGAATCTCGTCAGTCACAAAGGGAGAATCGAAGAACCTACTCATCAACCCCGAGGAAGATCTAGAAGCCGCAGTCCTCGTCCACGCTCACGGTTGGTATCTTCCTATAAATAGCAATGGTTCTGTCCTTTATCCCCATACCTCGCTGCTGCTGAAATTCATAAATGAAATTTTACCATAACCAAAATGTCAGAAATAAATTTCATGTATTTGATCTACCATCAGCCGTGTGATTCCATAGTGGTTTTTACATCACACAGTTGAATTCTCTGAATCAGAATTATAATATTCTTTGCCATTGATGCAATGATTGAGCTCAAGCTTGCTATGGAAATGCTTATCTGTTGCTCAATGCTAGAGTTATAAAAAGAAAGTGTTTAATACAGGGACAGGGATTACAGGAGGAGAAGCCGCAGTAGAAGTAGGGGTAGAAGTGAACGCGAACGTCACCGTGGTAGGGACAGGGATTCTCGTTACCGAAGTCGGAGCAGGTCTCAAAGCCCAAACCGGAGCAGAAGCGAAAGCCCTAGTTATCGCAGGGATCGTGGAAGAGGCAAATATGATGATGATGAGAGACGCAGACCGACCCGATCTTACGAAAGGTGGTTAATTTTTATGTCTGACACAGATACTGCAAAAGCTGCTTCATTTGTCGTTATTCGATTATCGGCTAATTATGAATTTTTTTTTATCATAGCCCTTCACCTGTCCGTCGAAGTCCTAGTCCTCGGAGGAGTCCTTCCCCAGACAAAAGTCCTTATAGGAGTGAAAGCCCTGGTGCTCGGAATCACAAGGAAAGATCTACTACTCCTAGAAGTGTATCTCCTCGCGGTCGTCGTGATTCCCGTAGCCGTTCTCCGATTTCTGAGGCTGACGTAAGTCCTTTACTCCTATCTCGTTATCACTATTGATCAAGCTTGTTATTTACATTATCGTGTTGGTTTCTTTCTTCTCCTTTGCAGGAATAATGAACTTGAAGATTGCTGAGAAAATGTTTTCGGTTGCTGATTTGTCAGTGTTTATCTTCTCAGTGACTCGATCCATTTTATATACCTGAGATAAATTTACCAAGGTTGATCTACTTATCGTAGCCGTGGAGACAATTGTTTTGGTTTATTTTGATAGTTTGTGTAGCTACCCCGTTAACTGTTTGGTACTTTAGTCGGTTTTTTTATCTTACAAAGTTTCTTTACTACTAGTGCTTTGTTTTGACAAGTTACTCATTATGCCCTTTACTTGCCTTCTATAGTTTGTGTCCGTGAAAAGTCGTAGTTGCTGATTGACAAGATGCTGCTGTTTTTAGATGATACAGTAGCTGTCGATGCTGCAGTGCTTTTATTCGCTGTCGATTTTTATATTGTTCGGATGGTGCTGAACTAAGCTACGTTTACATTCTGACTCGCATCTTGATTTAGGTAAGAGAACGAAGTAACACATTCCAATTCTCTCTTAAAATCACATTTGAAAGTTTAATATCTGTCTTCTTTGGGGAGAGTTAATCACTAGTAATCAGTCGACATTTCTGGAGTTCGTGTAATCTGTAACGGGTGCTGTTGTTGAGTTGATGTGCTGTTGGCTGCTGACTTTTAGTTTCAGTTGGTAAGAACTAACCTTCCATCTTGGCATCTTTATTCTAGGGGGGAATGTAAATTTGGCTCGGCAAGTGACATTTTTCCTCATTTCGGTTCTTTAAATGGATCGTATCTGGAAATAGTTTTGTATCTTATTTATTGTTGCTCTAATGGTTATCCACAACGCATGTGAGTTATATGCTTAAAATTAGGATCAGTAGAGCGACAATGGTAGTACGATCTACTTTAGGGTTAAAATTACGAGGGATGTCACTTAGCATAAGTAAATTTACCTTTTTTTCCCCACTTCATTGATATTAGATGCTGCGATGTTTTACAGCACCGGAGTCTGTGGTTGCGGTACTTTGCTGTTAGCCGTGAAACTGATGCAGCTATTCTTGATGAATCGTATTTGTAGCTGTGTGGGCGATTTAACCGTTTAGGTAAATAAATAAATCGAATGTGACATAGACTTCCCGGATGATTGTTTGACTAACGGTCGGTTTCACTTGTATGATTATTATTCCATTCTTTGCAGTCAGAGTTGCCGATGTAGTTCTTTTGCCCGGCTGCATTTTTTCGATTGATCGATCGCCTTATTGCAGATTGAGATCAGTCCAGGTTATTATTGCACTTTGATTTCTAGCATTGCATTTGTTGGAATTTTTCTTGAAAGATAAGGCGAGTTCATAGTTGTCGAAGGTGTTCATTGTTATGTGTTTGGCTTCAATTTGAAGATTATCTCAATAGTTTTGAGAAGATATTGACATGTTAGAATATGCTCATCTTTTGAATTTGTGCTCACTTTTTCTTTCAAATCCACTGTTCATCTAATTTTTTATTTTTTTTTCCCAAGAATATCAAATCAAATATCTATTTTTTATTTTATATATTATATTAAAAATTAATTTTACATTCAAAATATCACATAATATTTATCCATATCACATCATATATGTTTTACTAGGACTATTATTGTTTGAATTTTTTATCATAAAAAATGAACTATTATTGTTTGAATTTTTTATCATAAAAAATGAAAAATAACACATTGCGATTGTATTATTTTTTGTATTTTCTTATCATAGAAAGTAAACCAAATTATACTCTATATTTTTAATAAAATATATTACTTTTTCATAAAATATTATTTAAATAAAAATCTAAATTAATATCTTATTGTAAATAACAACCAAATAAACCTTTCTATTCTGTATTCTTTGTTATATTTTGAACAAGCCTAGGTCTGTCTACCTCGAATGAGATATTTGAGAAGATATGATGAAGTATAGAATATCGAGTTCTGGTAACTGCTGTATCTCTAAATTTTTCTTGTACGAAATTCTTATAATATGTTTTAACTTTTTTTGCAGTTGAAATTAAAATAAAATAATTACTGTACTTATTTGGTTATTCACTAAATTATTCGTAATATTTTATTTGTTAACTTATTATTTTTAATATAATAATTAATAATTAATTTATTACTAATATTTCAAGATTTCTCTTTTAATCCATTTTATTTTTAACAAATTTACTCATTTTAAATATATTTAATCAATATAAATTAATTTAATTAAATTCAAATTTCCTTAAAACTTTATTTTTAAATATAATGCTATAATCATTTAAATATGTATTTTAATAATTTTATTTATATATATATTAATATTTTTAAAATATCAATAATATTTATAAAGAAATATAAAATGATATTATAACCTATTATCAAATCAACATGACGTAAACAATGCCGAAAACAAATAGATTATTCTTGGTATTTGTTCCATTAATATTTTACTATCTATTTAATTATAACATTTACATTTTACTTTTAATTGCGATCCTTGTAAATATAATGATACTTTTGCTAAACGAATTACAATAATAAATAAACATTTTTTACAAAACAAATACTATGTCATCGAAATTTCGCCCATTTAATCAGACATAAATTTTAATAAAAAACAAATAAATAAAAATAAAAGCTTTTTCTTTTTATATAAAACAAATAAATGATGCATTGAACGTAGAAAAAATTTAATTAATAATTAATTAAAAATATATTAATAAAAATAATTATTATATAATAAAATATTTTTAAAAAATTAAAATTTAAATAAAATTAAAATTTATAATTCTTTTCTAAAAAAAAAAATTACAAAATAAATGGGCTGACGAAAATAAATAAAAATAAAAAAATAGACATAAGAGACGGAAACAACAAAACTACTCCCTTCTCTTTGTCCAATAACAAATTTTTCCATTTTAGTCTGTTCCATAACAAAGTATCCATTTTTTTTAACTGTATTTTCTACGTAATATAAATACCTTACGACTTACAATATATTACACAAGCCATTATCTTTATATCACATACTAATAAAATTATTTTAGTCATTTCTATTTTATTTCTACTATATCCCAATATAATACAAATATTTCTAAAACTACATAAAAAAACAAATGGATAATTAGTTTCGGGACGGAGGGAGTATTAAATTTAGAATTAAATGAAAAAAAAAAGTAAAATACCAGTATTAACTAATTTTTTGATATAAACATAATATTAAGTATTTAATTTTTAAAATTGCAAAAAAAAAAAAAAAGACTACGTTCACGGGTTCAGCATGATCCAAAAACTAAAAAAAAAAAACTACAAGAACAAAGCAGATAAAAGATGAAAGGATATAAGTAGAGACAAAGTGAAGGCAAGAAGAAGGTATTATAGTACATTACATAAGAGGACACGACACGACAAAAACTAACTATAACTCTAATCAATCAAATTCCTCACACGCCCAACACACAGTTAAAAACATCATCACCCAACCCAACACCCAATAATCATAATCATAATAATAAATAACAAATATCCATCAAATAACCATACCCATACCCATACCCATACCCATACCCGTCTAAAATAACACACCCAACGACTCAAACACAAACACAAACCCAAACCCCAACAAAACCAAAAAGATAATTAGTTGCAGAAATAAGAAGAAAGGAGAGGAGAAGGTGTTACCAGTAACAGCTCGTTGTTCAGTTATATCATTCGTTCATACTAAGGCAATGCTGCTCTCCCCGCCCGGCGGCTTCCGAACGCCGCCCAAATAGTCGCGCGACTCCACTTTCCCGTCCGCAAATATATTGCTCCCGCTCATCTCCCGGAGCTTCGCCGAACTCAGAGGCTTCTCTGCAGACGCCGCCGCCCCCCCATCTTCCTTGAAGATGTTATTCCCCGATAGCTCCGAGAATTTCTGGTTCGGAATTTTCTTCGCCGTCTTCATCACAGATTCTTCGCCTGTTGCTCCGTCGCCCTGTCCAGAATCGATCAGTCTATTTCTCACCGGAACAATTCTCCAAAAACATTATTAAAAAAAATACAACTATACACACACATTAATATAATATATTTATATTAACAGATAGTAATAGTATATTTGTAATGGTTACGGCTACGTACATTGTGGGATGCAGGAGATTCGCCGATGGAAATGCTTTCCCTTAGGGCTAAAGCTCGGGCAGCGAACGGACGGGGCTGAATTTCGGGCGGCAGAGCGAAGATATCGTGCCCACTAAGCTCCTTGTTTTTTGCGTCGGAAATTTGTTTCCTCAATCTTGCCTCGGATTCGCTCTCGAGTGTCCCGCTCAGCTCGCGTTGTTTAGCGACTTCGGGCAGAGTAGCCGGCTTTTTTGGAGATACGGTTTCTTCTTCGCTGAAGGATATGTGGCTGATTCCTGCCAATGCTTGCTGGAGCAAATCGATCGAACATCAATGCAGAACGTATGATCGGGATTCGAATGAAAATTAACATGGATTAGTTAAGGGTACGATACCTGGTACATGCGTAGCCCGGTTTTGTTCGTGTCTTCCTCGTTGTCCGATGCTCCGTCTTCTCCTTTTCCCTTGAATATTCCGCTGCCGGTCATTTCTTTCATTTTGTAGTCTGAGCAGGGTTTCCTGGATTCCGAAATGGAGTTAGGTTTTATCCATAGAAATGTGTAAGAATAATAAAGGAATGGCGAGGAACAATTGATCTGGAGATGTAACAGAGAATGAACATTGGGATTGTATCAGATCAAACAGGAGTTTAATCATGACAATCTGTTAATACCAAGTAAGATTGCTTCCTATATCTTGAGAAATTCTAAAGTGCACCATCAAATTCAAGCATGTAATTTAGGAAAAGTAAATTCGAGAGTGTACAGAGAATTTTCATAGTTTAGATGAGATGAGATCCATAGAGAGTCTCCTTGCTTGCCTAATTAATTTCAGATTTGAGCAAGCTAGCTATATGAGCAAAACTAAATCAATTCTTCCTCAGGCAAATATGATAATTCAACAAGTTCTTCGAATGATTTTGGTGGATCAAGAGCTAAAAAAAAGCAACATCAATAAAAATGCGATTAAATCTAGTGATCACGAACATTTGGAAGACATTGAAGTTCAGCAATCTAGTGACTTCGTTGACTTGTAAAACAACAACGTACAGCGAAATCAGAGATATAAAACTGGCCTTCAATGGCATTTGACAGTGGAGAAGCAGAAGAATCACAAAATTTATTGAATCGTGCAAAATTTATGCATTAAATTCGAAATACAGCCAATACGAATGGAGCCAAAAGTTCATATGTGAAAAGTAAATAAAAACCAACAAAATCTCCGTACCGCAGCATTTATTGCCCGATTCAGACTTGCAGAAATTATATACAAACAAAAAATCACAAAGGAGAAAAAGAAATCCAAAAATTATGAAGGAAAAAGAAATGAGCTAGATCTCCAACCTCTTATTCAAGCTCTCAACCTCTTCATCAGTCACCTGACCACCGAACACCACCTTGCTCACTCCATCCGACGGCTGCCATTCCAAACCGACATTCAAACCAAAACAAAAAATAAATAAATTAAAATAAAAAAAAAAAAACCAAACGCAACGAAAGCACTCCGGGACAAACGAACGCCATTACCTGGTGCGACCGAGCCGCGGATGCAGTCGCCGGTGAATTCTCCGGCGGATTCTCCGTCCACGTAAGCAGATCTGCCGTCGACGTGTTAGGCTTCCTCACCGGCGTCGACTTCTCCATCACTACCAACAAATTCCGTACCACAACCACCACTCCTACAAATCACGAATCCTGAATGCCTTTTCTACAGCTCGCTCGCTACCACAACAACCGTACGACGCCGCAAACACCGCGGTGGCTCCGGCGCCGGCGTTTTTCCTCCCGAGATTTCCTGCGGTGTTTCCGTCCCCCCTCTCGGACTTCTACACTCCTTATTTATACTCTCACTTCGGATAATCTATTGTCAATTTGGTACTTAGAAAATTACATACTACTCAATTATTAATTAACTACTTCCTTTTTATTTTATTAATAGCACAATAATATTTAATTAATTAATTAATGTAGTTTAAATTAGTTTTATATAAATAAATTGTTTTTTGAAATAACATTTAAATAAATTTAAATTCCCAATGTTCTCGTAACGTTTGAGTGATATTCGGTTATTTCATTTAATTTTTGTTAATAATTATGACGTCATTTCATTGGGACACGTGGCGAGTGGTGTATGGAGGGTGCAGGTAATGGGAATAGAGGTCGCCCGTACTCAATCTCAGCTCTTCTTTTATTCGCGTCCCTCGCTTTAAATGGGCGGGCATGTGCGTGGATGGGACGTGACAGCGACAGGCACAGGGACAGAGGGGATACAATGTAGTTTTACGGTTATACCCCTAGTCTTTCTCATCTGTATCGTGGCAATTTCGTCAATTTCTCCACTATATTTTTTTTGTTTTGAATATTTGGCGAGGATTATAGGCTGTTAATACGCTCGATTTTAATTTTAATTTTTTATTTATATATATTCGCAATACAATGTTAACTGAAAAATGAACTACAGTACATTAAAAATATACTTTTTCCTTTCATTTTAATTCATATATTTTATTTATTTTTTTATAACTGTTGATATTTTAATATTTTTGATAACATATAATAAATCAAAATATGTTTAAGAAATATAAAATAATTAGTAAAATCCACTCAAAATTCATTAGTTTATACTTCCTATATATTCTCTCCGTTTTCTCGAATAATATGTCCATATTACTATAATATAAAAATTTAAGTAAAATATAATAAATAAGTAAATTAAAAATATATTAATAAAAATTATTATTGTGTAATAAAATATTATAAACTAAGATTTAAAAATATATAAATAATAGAATTTAAGATGTAATTAAAATGTAAAATTATATTTTAAAAAAATATAAATTATATAAAATAGAGAAATTATGTGATGCGGAAAAAAAATAATAGTGACAAATTATAAATATTACTGTAATAAATTAGGTGGGACAAAAAAATATATATTAATATTAAAAAAAATTATATTGCAAGTATTTATATCTAATAAAAATATGTATTAAATTTACTATTCCCTCCGTCCCATATACCATGTCTATATTGTCGTGTGTCCGTTCCACATACCATGTCACTTTCCTTTTTTGGAAAATAATTACACATTTTAATCTCATTTTAAATTTTTTAATTTTAATTAAACTAATTAGTTATTTTAATCTTAATTTATAATTATTTATATTATAGAATAATTATTTTACTAATACATTTTTAATTATCTACTAATTATACCATTTTTAAAATACCGTATCTACAGTGTAGTGTAGCAGACACGTCATTTAGGACGGAGGGAGTATTACTTTTATACTTTTGTTTGAATTGATAGAATGTTTTATTAATATTATTATTTACTCTCCCAGTTTTATAAAATAGTATTCAATATTTTTAACATGTATATTAAGAAAAAAATATTTTAATACTATTATTTATATTTTTTTAAAATATAATTGAAATTTTATAGAATTAGTTTTTTTATTAGGAACTAGTGTATTTAAAGAATAATACTCCATCGTCTCATAATTAAATATTCATTTTTTTTTCATATAATTTTAAAAATATTAGTATTATATTTGGATATAGTAGGAATAAAGTAGAAATGACTAAAATAATTTTATTAGTACATGTGATATAAAGGTAATGACATTTGTGTAATATATTGTAAATTGTAAAGGTATTTGTAATGTTAGGTAGATAGTACAGTTACTAAAAAAAGAAATAGATAATTTGTTATGGGACAGACTAAAATAAAAAATAGATACTTTGTTATGAGACGGATAGAGTAATATTTTTTACTGAATATGATACAAATGTAGTATTATTATGTATACAAACTAATATTGTGGATATTTAGACACACAGTTACTAATATACGTAAATATATTTGCCTATTTAAAAAAAATATGTATTTTGATTTAATATTTTTACAGAAAAATTAAATTTTGAATAATAAAATTAAAAATAAAATTTCATATAGAAACACAATTAATAGATATTTAGATCATATTAAATAACTATTTAAATTTAAATTTTTACTATTCAAAATAAAAATAAAAATAAAAAATCATAATTTTACAAGTAAACACACCCATTAAGCCTTTTTAGTATAATTGACTATTGTAATTTGTTAATTTATTTAAGCCTTTTTTTAAAAAAAAAAAAAATTATATAAATGTATTATTTATTAAACAAAAATATTATATTTAATTTCTATTAAGCATAAATATAAATACAAATTAAATAAATGCTATGATATAGGTAATAAATTGAACTTTGAACCTAGTCTATTACTATATTAAATACTACTATTTATTTATTTAGATAAATAGGTTGATATATATCTTATCTTGAAAATTGTATAATAAAAATCCTTATGTATATTTGTCCAATACTACTTATATATGTTTTTAAATTTTAATACTATTTATCATTAATATTTTTTTAAAAAATATATCAAATATTTATTATTTTTTCACAAAAAATATATTAAATAATTAATTTTATATTTTTTTAAAAAATTAATAAATATTTATATAAAGGAACTTTAATAATATTTTTAAAAAATTAACTCAAACTTACAAAACATATATCAAGTGAAATAATATTTTAATATTACTCCATTATTCTATTTTATTTATTTATTTTTTTTTTGTAAAAAAAAATTAGAATTTTAAGAGTTAGTAATGTAAAATTTTATACTAAAAAAATTAAGTATAAAATATATATATATGATCTATTAGTGACAATAGTTTTAATAGATAGAAAAATAATATTAAAATTTTTTAAAAATTTGATATTTTGTTTACTAAATATGATACGAATACACTTTTAGTAGAAAAAATATATATAATACTCCCTCCGTCCCAATAGTATAGTTATATTGTATTAGACATGATTTAATGAATATTGATATTATATTGGTAGTTAGTAAAATGTAAGGATAAATGACTTTTTTGCCCTTGTGAGTATATTAGTGTAAAAACGTAATGACAATTGTATAATAATAATAAAAGAATATGGATAATTTTATGGTGATATGGTTATTTATAAAAATAAGACTATTGTTTTGGTTATTTATAAAAATGAGACTATTGTTTTTGGACGGATAAAAATGATAAACAAGACTATTGTATTGGAACAACTGAATAACACATAAAAATAAAGAATAGGAAAGTCAACAAAAAAACACTATTATCTATAGTAGTTTCATAATTATACATATCTTGTAATAAAATACTGAAAATTATAAATACTACTCCCTCTATCCCACATAATTTGTCCTTATTTTCTATTTTCGTCCGTCCCACATAACTTATCTTTTTTATTTTTGGAAATATAATTATCTACTTTAATCGCATTTTAAAATTTAAATTTTATAATTTTCTTAATTTTAATTAAATTATTTACTTATTTTAATCTTAATCTATAATTATTTTTACTAAATAATAATTATTTTTACTAATACATTTCTTAATTACTTACTAATTTATATTTTACCTAAATTCCCGTGTTTACAATAATACATTCATATTACATGGGACAGAGGGAATATAATACATTTAAGGATGTATTTGGTTTTTTTTTTTCAAATAAAAAAAATATTATTCAATCAACTTTTAATAAAAATACATTATTTTTTTTATAAAAACATCAATCAAAATACTATTTCAACACCGCTTCTTTTAAATACTTTCAAAATTGTAATAGAACAAATCATATAATTTAAAAAAAAATTGAATTTTTCTATGAATTTTTATCATATATATATATATATATTACTTTCAAATATCACAGTACACTGTAAGTAACATACAAAATTAGCCTATGTTTATATATTCTTAATTATCCAAAATTTATAAATTGGGGTTAAAAAATATATCTCACATTATTTCAGACTTTAAATCAATACTTTATATACTAATATTTAACATCTTGCCACTATATAAATTAATTGTTTAATAATAGTATACTTATATTATAAAAAAAAAAAAATCATTGCGTAAGAACAAGTTGTTAAATAATACATATAAAAGCTAAGATTTAATACAATTTTTAATATTTAGAAACATAAATAAATTCGTTATCAATATATATATATATATATATTACTCCCTCCATCCACACGCAAAGTAAACATTTATTTTTAGCGCGGTATTTAAGAAATAATAGTATTTTAATAATAACATGTAGTTAAAAGTAGTAAAATAATAGTTTTGTCCTTGTTTTTTTGTGTAAAAGTAATGACGTGGTGTATAGTATGAGTATTTATTGGAAAAAAGTGAAATATTTAATGAAAATTTTACTTTGTAATTGGATATTCCAAAATAAAAATATGTATACTTTCTAGTTGTACGGAGGGAGTATTTTATTTTTAAGTATAACATAAACATATAGCTCATGTGTAAAAATAAATACAACGTTTTATATATGTGAATCACATATACTCCTTAAACTAACAAAGAAAAACAATACGTTCATTAAGCGTTTTTAAATTAATTAATTTTTCGTGCGGTACGAGGAACTCTGTTACTAATATAAAAAAAATATTTTTGCGTTTTTAAATTAATTGATTTTTCGTGCGGTACGAGGAACTCTGTTACTAATATAAAAAAAATATTTTTGTGTTAAATATTTGATTTTTTTTATGAGTTAATAATGTATATATTATATTAATGCGTGTGTATATTTGTATTTTTTAATAATATTTACGATGAATCGTTCCATTAAGAAATATCGAATGAATAAACATTGCTAAACAAATAAATTTTATTCCAAAATCAACTCAAAATATCATTTTATTATTTTATCTATCGTATTAAAAAATATATTTATTTAATAATATAGTAAAAATAATTACGTACTAAT